CTGTCACAGTCGGTTGGCATTTGAACCAGCATCTCCATCTTGAATAGGGGCTGAGAAAAATAAGGCAGTTTCTGGGTACCGGTGCACCCCAGGCTGGCTTCTTCCTTTACCCCATGACAGCTCTCACACTTGGCCAGGCGCTGTGGCTCATGCCTGTAATCCCAGCGCTGTGGGAGGATTAGACTGGGGAAATTAGACTAAGGAATTCACCGGTGGCAACCCAACCTGTGACCAAGCTAAGCCTCCTGTCTGAGCCACACACAGCTCCTACTCTAAAGAGAAGGCGGCTTTTGGCTTATTAAAGAGCCTACCATATGCCAAGAGCTTTGCAGCACATTTCATCAAATTCTCAGAGCACTACAGGAGCAGGTCCTAGTCTCAGCTCCATTTTACAGGTGAGAGAACTTACTTCCTGAAGGTCATGTGTTGATCTAGAGGAGGAGCTGGGCTAAGACTTCAGTCTGTGTGGCTCCATGATGTTCTCCATGGTCCCTGACACTGCTGGTGTAGACAGAAGTGGGAGTCAGGGAGTGCTGGTGGATTTCCTTGCTGATCGATGCTGCCTTTAGATAGCCAGGATCTCGGGACTGTGGTGGCCTGTTGTCTGTGCACCCTCACCAGTACTGAGGACTTTAAGAGATGGAACTAGAAAAAAGAAAAAAAAAGAGATGGAACTGGGCTTTGGTTTGGATGTTTGTGTCCCCATGAAACTTTGTGTTGAAACTTAATCCTCAGTCCAACAGTGTTAAGAGGTGTGGCCTTAAGAAGGTGATTAGGTCATGAGAGCTGTCTTCATGGATGGGATTAGCAACCTTACATAAGGGACGAAGGGAACTAGTTAGACCCTTTTGCCCTTCCGTCCCTTGCACCACGTGAGTACCCACTGTTCCTCCCCGCCAGAGGTTGCGTAATTGGGCGCCATCTTGGAGGCAGACCGCAGCCCTTACCGGACCGCTGAAACTGCTAGCACCCTGATAGCCGGCAGCCCAACCTCCAGAACTGTGAGAAATTGATTTCCGTTGTTGATAAATTCCCCAGTCTGGTATTTTGTTGCAACAGTGATCAAGTTTGGATGTTGGGCCTTTTCAAATCTCCAGTCGGAATATGATTCCCAAGTTGGAGGTGGGGCCTGGTGATTGAATCACAGGGGCAGATCCTCATGAATGGTTTAGCACCATCCCCTTGGTGATGAATGCGTTCTCGCTCAGTGAGTTCAGGAGATGCGTTCTCGTTCAGTGACTTCATGAGAGATCTGGTTGTTGGAAAGAGTCTGGGCCCTCCCGCTTCTCTCTCTTTTGCTCCTGCTCTTGCCAGGTGACGTGCTGGCTCCCCATCACCTTCTGCCAGGAGTGGAAGCTTCCTGAGGCCCTCTCCAGAAGCAGATGATGGCAGTATGCCTTGTGTACAGCCTGCAGAACTGTGAGCCCATTAAACCTCTTTTATTGGCTGGGCTCGGTGGCTCACGTCTATAATCCCAGCAGTGTGGGAGGCCGAGGCAGGCAGATCACCTGAGGTCAGGAGTTTGAGAGGAGCCTGGGCAACATGGCGAAACGCCGTCTGTACTAAAATCATAAAAATTAGCCAGGCATGGTGGTGGACGCCTGTAATCCCAGCTACTCAGGAGGCTGAGGGAGGAGCATTGTTTGAACCCAGGAGACGCAGGTGGCAGTGAGCCAAAATGGCACGACTGCACTCCAGCCTTGGTGATAGAGCAAGACTTCGTCTCAAAAACAAAACAAAACAAAAATCTCTTTTCTTTATAAATTACCCAGTCCCTGGTATTCCTTTTTAGCCGTACAAGCATGTACTAAAAGGGGCTGGGCGTGGTGGTTCATGCCTGTAAATCCAGCACTTTGGGAGGCAGAATGGGGAGGATCGTTTGAGGCCTAGAGTTCAAGGCCAGCCTGGGCAACATAGCAAGACCCTGTCTCTACAAAAAAATAAAAATAAAAAAAATTAGGTGGGCGTGGTGTCACATGCCTGTAGTCCCAGCTACTTAGGAGGCTGAGGAGGGAGGATTGCTTGAGCCTAGGCGTTTGAAGTTGTAGTGAGCTATGATCACACCATTGCACTCCAGCCTGGGTGACAGGAAGACCCTATCTCTCAAAAAAAAAAAAAAAAAAAAAAAATTAGACTAACATATGTAGCAGAAACTGACAAAGACAGACTGTTTCCTTCACCATGGTAACTTCAGTGCCAAGCACAGGGTCTTGCATATAGTAGGTGCTCAATATGAGTTTCCCAAGTGAATGAGTAGCCTTTGACTTTCTCTGTTGACTGGGTCCCACACTGTTGGGACAGCACAAACAACTTCACTTGAAGGCAGTTTCTGGGTACAAGTGCAGCCCAGGCTGGCAACAGCAGACATAGAAGCGGGGCTGAGCTGCCTTCTTAGTCATGACCAACACTTTCCTCCATTTTGGGTTCTGTCTGTCCAGCCCCCAAGTTTAGCCTTTCCCAGATTAAATCTCCTTCTCTGCCTTCTAAGACTTTGGAACACTTCTTTCCCCACCCCATGGCAACTCTCACACCTGGCACAGCAGAGAATTGCTTTGGAAGTCACTGAAGTAGTTGTGTCAGGTAGGCTGGGACTTTTACTTAGTTCGTTTGAGTCTCTGAGTCTCTTTGGCTATTGCTAGCACAATGGCAGGCCCAAAATAGGTGCCCGGTAAGTGTTTGTTAAATGAATGAATGAACATTTAACAAATGAATCCTTCGGGAATCCAAATAAACAAATGATAGATGAATGAGTGAGTGAATCAGGACTCAGTGAATCTGCAGCTTTGCTGAGCTCTCTGCTGGTAAAGCTCTGGATTGATGCGTGTGTGACCTTGGCACTTCTGGGCCCTGGTTTGCCCACCTTGGAAATGAATAGGTTTGATGAAACTGTCAGAGACATTTGAACCAGCAACTCCATCTTGAATAGGGGCTGGGTAAAATAAGGCTGAGACCTGCTGAGCTGCCTTCCCAGCAGGTTAAGGGATTCTTAGTCACAGGATGAGATAGGTGGTTGGCACAAGATACAGGCCATAAAGACCTTGCTGATAAAACAGTTTGCAGTAAAGAAGTGGACTAAAACCCACGAAAACCAAGATGACTACAAAAGTGACTTCTGGTTGTCCTCAGTGCTACACTCCCACTAAGCGCCATCACAGTTTAAAAATGTCATGGTAATGTGATAGGAAGTTACCCTATATGGTCTAAAAAAGGGAGGAATCCTCAGTTCCAGGCATTGCCCACCCCTTTCCCAGAAAGCTCATGAATAATCCATCCCTTGTTTAGCATATAATCAAGAAATAACCTAAAAGTGGGCAACCAGCAGCCTCAGGGCTCCTCTGCCTATGGAGTAGCCATTCTTTAATTCCTTTACTTTCTTAATAAACTTGCTTTCACTTTACCATTTGGATTCACCTCAAATTCTTTCTTGTGCAAGATCCTAGAACCCTCTCTTGGCTGGGCGCTGTGGCTCACGCCTGTAATCCCAGCACTTTGGGAGGCTGAGGCGGGTGGATCACCTGAGGTCAGGTGTTCAAGACCAGCCTGGCCAACATGGTGAAACCCCGTCTCTAAAAAATACAAAAATTAGCTGGGCGTGGTGGCACGTGCCTGTAGTTGCAGCTACTTGGGAGGCTGAAGCAGGAGAATCACTTGAATTTAGGAGGCAGAGGTTGCAGTGAGCCAAGATCACACCACTGCACTCCAGCCTGGGCGACAGAGTGAGAATCCGTCTTAAAAAAAAAAAAAAAAAAGTATCCTTTCTTGGCATCTGAATCGGAACCCCTTTCTGGTAACAGAACTAGCCGTGACCACCCATGTCCATAGTTGCGTGCTGGACAGACAGGGAACATTGCTATGCATGGCCTCCCCCTCCGTGTGCACATCCAGATCTTGATGAAACTCAGAAATTGTTGTGCGGAAAGCAGAGCCCTGAAATAACTTGCAACCATCACAATTGTTGACCCAGGAAATAGCAGCTCACTGTGGGTTGGGGCTTACAATCCTCAGAGCAAGAGCAAAACTTTCTTTTGTTTTCCTCATGGAAGCAGATGGCAGAGCCTAGGGTGTGAATGACATTATTACAGGGATTCAAGTGTTCGTCTCTTTATCTACTTAACAACTATTTATGGAGCATCTTCTAAGTCCTTGGTCCTGAGGATGCAATGAGCAAGAAGCCCTTTTGGAGCTTACATTCTGGTGGGAGAGACAGGAAGTTCAAAAACAAACATACGTATTAAATGAGAGGATCTCTGATAGTGATAAGTGTCATGAAGGAAATCAATCCGGGGCTGGGTTAGAGGGGGCAAGAGAAAGGGGTTTACCTTAGCAGGCTCCCAGAGCTTCAATGAAGAGCTTTATTTGACCTGCAACCAGAGGATGAGAAGGAGCTGACCTTGCAAAAAAACAGAGGGAAGAGCATGCCAGGCAGAAGGAACAGCATATACAGAAGCTCTGAGGGGAAAGAGGGATGGCCGGGAATCCTTTTTATTTTTTTTTAAACAAGCAAATCAATATAAAACTGTAATTCTTTAGTTATTAGTAGTGCCAGATTAATTTTTTCATTCAGCAAATCAAGCCCCTACTGTGTAGCTGGCCCTGGTTTAGGCCCTGGGGACAAACAATGATGAATGAAAGCGACATTCTTGTCGCACAGGTCCTGGGCCTGGCACCCTGTGGAGATGAGCTGGTCTGATGTTTGCAAAGGGCTCCCCAGCTTGGATCCTTGGGGAATCCAAATAAACCCTGCGGGTTCTGGCATCCCAGGCCTCCCTCCAGCCGGCCTGCGGCTCCAGGGCTCCATAGGCAGGAGGCTTCTCTTTTTCCTGCCTTTCCCTCCCCCACCCACCTGGGCACAGAGGGTCTTTCATCCATTGTTACTGCTTCCTGCCCATCCATCTCCAGCTGCTGGTCTGAACCCTGCAGATTTACACTGACAAGCGGATGCTTTTACCAGGACCCTTGAGGGGGATAAGGAGGGGAGTGGTGTGGAGTGTGGGGGAAGAGGGGGGAGGGAAGACCAGAGCTTTGAGACAAGGAAGAGTTTCCTGCTCTGAAGAGGTGTTAGACCCTGAGGGCTGAGAGGACGGGAAGCAGGCCTCTGTCCCCAGAGCCTCCCCATGCTGGGGGAGGGGGTGATTTATGACCCCTGACCTGGCAGGGCCTCCAGTCCCTTGGACTGGGTTTGGGTTCAGCTATATCTTCCCTGGCTAAGGGATATATAAAATGAGATCTGGGCTTGGAGTCAAGAGACCTGGGTTTCTGTACCGTCTCCACCAACTATCAGCTGGGTGACTTAGGAAAGTTTCTTAGCCTCTCTAGGCCTGTTTCCTCACTGGACAGGTGGGTCTGATAATCCATGCCCAGCAGAGGTTATAGTGACAATGAGTATGATCATGTAGGATAGATGATTGCAAAATACCATAAAATAAAGAGCATTTTCTCCCCTGGAGCGCTTTCTCCTATCCAAAGAAGGTTATAAGCTGGTTTCTGTTAAGGCAGACTTGGTTGAGCACCTACTGTGTGCCAGCTGCCATTTGGGGTGTTGAGGATAAAAAGACACAAGTCCTGTTCTTAAATGAGACAGACAAATAGACGTGCAGCATGTAATTGATTGCAGCGTTTGGATACATAGGCCAAGAATGTGGCTCTGGAGCCAGCCTGCCTGGATTCATTTCCCAGCCCTGCCACTTACTGGTTGGGTGGTCCTAGGCAAATTACTTAATCTCTCGGTGCCTCAGTTTCCAAAGTCTGCACAGTGGTAGCAGTAATTACCCACTGCATAAGATTGTTGTGAGGATGAAATGATTTAATACTTCTAAAGCATTTAGTATATGCCTGTCATACAGAAAGTGCTCAATAAATAAAGTTATTATTATAGGGGCTGATAAAGTCAACATGGAGTGGGGAGGAGGTGGCGAGCCAGTACTGGAGTTGAGGAAGACTTTATGAGTTGAGTTGAGTCTTAAATGATAAGTGTGAATGAAGCAGCAACAGGGAGGGTGGGGTGCCTCATGGCTGTAATCCCAGCACTTTGGGAGGCTGAGGCAGGTGGATCACCTGAGGTCAGGAGTTTGAGACCAGCCTGGCTGGCCAACGTGATGAAACCCCATCTCTACTAAAAATACAAAAATTAACCAGGTATGGTCCTCCCTAACCCTTCTTCCCCCACACTCCGCATCACTCCCCTCCCTATCCACCTTGAGGGTCCTGGTAAAAGTCCCAGGCCTGTATAGTCCCAGCTACTTGAAAGGCTGAGGCAGGAGAATCACTTGAATCTGGGAGGCGGTGGTTGCAGTGAGTTGAGATTGTGCCACTGCACTCTAGCCTGGGCCACAGAGTGAGACTCCATCTCAAAAAGCAACAACCACCACCACCAGGGAGGGTGATTCTGGCGGGGGGTACCATGTGAGTGAAGGCATGAAAAGAAAAGAGCACTCGCTACTCCAGATAACTGTGAGAGAGGCTTCAGCTGAGATGCAGTGAAGATGAGGCTACGGCTGGGACTCAGAGTTCTTGTAAACTGTGTTAAGATGTTGGGTCATGATCCCGTAGCTGATGGAGGGTTTCTCGTGAGGGAGAAACATCAGATTTTGATTTTTCTCAAACACCCTGGTGGAAGTGTGGAGGATGGAGTGGAAGGGTAGGGCTGAAGGCAGTGCAATCACACTGCCGATGGTGTAGCAGTGTCTCAATGACTCAGGGAGCAAAATGAGCGAAATGTTTCCCACCCCTTTGAATTGTTTTGAGGGTTGGCTGAGAATGATACCCACAAAGGGTATGGCGCAGCTAATGGAATGGTAGCTCTAAGTACAGTTAAATGCTGAGAGTCTGAACTGTGGCAGTAACAGAAGGGTTGGAGTAGGAGACCGATTTGAGAAACATTGAGAAAGTAAAATCTCCAGGAATCATTGACTGACTGGGTATGGGAGTGAGAGAAGAGGCGTCAAAGGATTTCTTAAATGTTTTTGAAGGAATATGGTGTATGGAAGGCACTGTGATTTTTAAAATCACCATGTCGGGACCAGGTGCAGTGGGACACACCTGTGATCTCAGCATTTTTGGAGGCAGAGAGAGAGGATAGTTTGAGCCTAGGAGTTTGAGAACAGCCTGGGCAATGTGGCAAAACTCATCTCTACAAAAAAATATAAAAATTAGGCCAGGTGTTTCACATCTGTAACCCCAGCACTTTGGGAAGCCAGGGTGGGCAGATCACTTGAGGTCAGGAGTTTGAGACCAGCCTGGCCAACACAGTCAAGCCCTGTTTATACTAAAAATAGAGACAGCACAGTGGCCTGCGCCTGTAATCCCAGCTACTCGGGAGGCTGAAGCAGGAGAATCTCTTGAATCTGGGAGGTGGAGGTTGTGGTGAGCCGAGATGGTGCCACCACACTCCACCCTGGGCAACAGAGCAATAGTCCATCTTAAAACAAAAACCCAAAAAGTTAGCTGGGCATGGTGTTGTGTGCCTGTAGTCTCAGCTCCTTGGAAAGCTAAAGTGAGAGAATTAGTTGAACCCAGGAGGCAGAGGTTGCAGTGAGCCGAGATGGTGCCGCCACACTCCAGCCTGGGTGATGGAGGGAGACTCTGTCCCAAAAACAGACGACAACAACAACATCACCATGTCTGTGAGCTGACTCATTCAGCTGGTGGTCTAGCTTCCAGCTTCATTCATCCACCAGCTCTTCCATGAGCACCTACTATGTGCAAGGTACCTTTCTAGGTGCTGGGGCTAAAAAACAAAGCAGAGCTGGTCCCTGGCCCCCTGGAGCTCACCATTCATACAGGGAGGACATGAGGAAATAATCTGTTTCATCAAATGACCAGAGACTGGTAGGGCCTCCGGAGCTGCCCCAGGCAGATTCTTGGTGGTTTGTAGACTTCTCAAATGAACATTCCCAAAACCAGATTCCCACACTCAACCCCACTGCTTTCAGGTTCCCCTGCCCAGGAAATGGCACCACCACCCTGCAGGTGCTCAGGCCAGAAACCCGAGTGTCCATGTTACCCCACCACTGATCCCATCCATCTGCTGCAGCTCCTGTGACTTTTGTCTCAAGGACATATTTGTAATCCATCTTCTGTTCTCTCTGTTTTCCCATCTTAGTCCAGGCTGCCATCACTCCTGCCTGGATGTCACATCTGATGCCTAAGTTGCCTTCTTGCTGCCTGTGCCTCTAATCCTTATCCCACACAGCAGTCAAGAATAGGCTTCTGCAAAGGCAAACCACACCCCCGCAATTCCACTGCTGAAAACCTTGCTTTAGTAGCTTCCCACCACTTTGGAGTGAAACCAGAAGCCTAGGCACGTCCTCAAAGCCAGCACACGTCTGGCCCTGCCCTCTTCCAACCTCCTCCTCCAAGTCTACACCCTTCTTCCCACTGTGCACTGGCGTTTTAGTTCTTTGAGCCACCAAACTCCCTCTCTTGGAGATGCCCTTTCCTTCCTTCTTTGCTGGGCTTCTTTTCTTCTCACCCTCCCAGTCTCAGCTGGTATCTTCCCTCCTTAAAGAAGTATCCCTGCCCATCTTGGCTAAAGTACATCTACCCTGTCAGGTTGTTTTTTGTTGTTTCTATTTTGAGATGGATTCTTGCTCTGTCACCCAGGCTGGAGTGCAATGGCACAATCCCAGCTCACTGCACCCTCTGCCTCCCAGGTTCAAGCGATTCTCCTACCTCAGCCTCCTGAGTAGCTGGGATTACAGGCATGCACTACCACGCCCGGCTAATTTTTGTATTTTTAGTAGAGATGGAGTTTCACCATGTTGGTCAGGCTGGTCTTGAACTCCTGACCTCTGGTAATCTACCTGCCTCAGCCTCTCAAAGTGATGGGATTACAGGTGTGAGCCATCATGCCTGGCCCACTGTCAGTCTTTCTCTGCACTGTTTGTTTCCCTCATAGCACTTTGTAATTATTTTATTTGTTGATTTTTATGTCTGTCTACCTTCTCCAGAGATCAGGATCTCCTAAAGGCAGCATCCAGGCCTGTCTTGTTCCTTAGGATTCCTATAGCCTAGTAGGAACCCTATATCCTACAGCCTGCAGTACCTGCCAGAGCCAGCCCTCTGTTCATGTTGCCGAATACTGAGATTCAGTGGATTCAGACGGCTCTGCTCAGTCTATCACCTGCAGTGACTCCCAGTCCCCCTTTTGCTCACACAGAATCATGCTCTCTCCTCTCCCCAGCCTCAGTGGAATAACTTGTGGGTTATCTTGTCATCTATCAATCTCTAATAAAAACCAGCTTATTTTTAGAACAGGTGAAAGCAACGATCTAACATCTCTGAGAGGATTTTCCACTCCCATCTGCCTTTCTACTACAATTTGGTTTCCTGTGGTGGTTGCAGAGGCTGCCAAACCAGCCAGCTTTGTTTTTCTGGAGTGCAGAAAAGAATCTCAAAAGAAAGCCAAGCCCCCTTTCTTCCACCTGCATAAAGAAATGAGGTGTGTAGTGTAAGTGCCTGGTGTACAGTGGGAAGCCTGCACAAGTGAGAGGCCTTGTGCTCCTCACTTGCTGTGTGACCTTGGACTCATTACTTTCCCTCCCTGAGCCTCAATTACCCACCTGTAAAAGGAAGGGGTTGGAGCATTAATCACTAAAGGTCTGCGACAGCTAATTTTTTTTTTTGAGACAGTCTTGTTCTGTTGCCAGGCGCCAGGCTGGAGTGCAGTGGCACGATCTCCGCTCACTGCAACCTTCGCCTCCCGGGTTCAAGCAATTCTCCTGCCTCGGCCTCCCGAGTAGCTGGACTACAGACACGTGCCACCACGCCCAGCTAATTTTTTATATTTTAGTAGAGATGGGGTTTCACTATGTTAGCCAGGATGGTCTTGATTGCTTGACCCTGTGATCCGCCTGCCTCGGCCTCCCAAAGTGCTGGGATTACAGGCGTGAGCCACCGCGCCCGGCAAGCCAGCGGTTCTTTTACATTCCTGGACATCAGCTACGTGGCAGTCCCAGTTCTTTCTATGAAGTGAAATGTCATTTGTGCCTCTTTTAGTGCATGTGCAGTTTCATACAAATTAACACAAAATAAGAACCCAGAGGCTCTCGATCACAGGACCCAGGTCTAGGCAGACCTGGGATGAAAGAAGAAATGTAGCTCATGTTTTCAAAACGGCTTGATGTCTTTCCCAACATCCCACTCTACAGAGAGGAAACAGGAGGGAAAGTGACTTGCCTGAGGTCATGTGGCAAGACACTGACAAAGTACAATTAGCAGCCAGGTCTCCATTCTGGCACTTTCCTTACCTCATCTTCCTGCCTTTTAACCATAGGCCTGGGGCTAGAACCTAGCTCTAAGGAAAGTTTATCCTTCAGTTGACACAAAGGGGACTGAGATAAGCTTCTTAAAGAAGTTCAAACAAGATACTCTTGTTGTTGTTGTTGTTGTTGAAACAGGGTCTCACTCTATTTCCAAGCCAGAGTGCCTTGGTGTGATCATAGCTCAGTAAAGCCTCCATCTCCTGGGCTCAAGCAATCCTCCCACCTCAGCCTCCTGAGTAGCTGGGACTACAGGTGCATGACACCACACCCAGCTACTTTTAAAAAACTTTTGTAGAGATGAGGTCTCGCTATGTTACCCAGGCTGGTCTCAAACTCCTGGGCTCAAGCAATCTTCTCGAAGACCTAGGGTTACAGGTGTGAGCCACCACACCCAGCCCCCAAATACTCTGTCTTTGAAGCAGGGAGAGGTGATTATTTTGATTATGTGATTGGGGGGATGAATTGGAATGAAGTTGTGGAGAGACCATTCCATCTAGGGGGACCAGCTTATGCTAAGAAAAAAGCACAGCAAAGCTCAGAAGTTGTTTATAAAGACAACTTAAAGACATGCCGGCTGGGCACAGTGGCTTATGTCTGTAATCCCAGCACTTTGGGAGGCCGAGGAGGATGGATCACCTGAAGTCAGGAGTTCAAGACTAGCCTGGACAACATGGTGAAACTCCATCTCTATAAGAATACAAAAATTAGTTGGGTTGGTGGCACGTGTCTGCAATCCAAGCTACTCGGGATGCTGACGCACAAAGAATCACTTGAACCCAGGAGGCGGAGGTTGCAGTGAGCCGAATCGTGCCGTTGCACTCCAGCCTGGGCAACAGAATGAGACTCCATCTCAAAAAGAAAAAAAAAAAAGACATGCCTCCCCACTCTGTCCCCTTCTAACCAGAATGTACCCCCCTCCCCACCAAATCTCATTTAATTAGAAATTCTGGAATGTCCATTACCTGTAAGATAGAGCACATGTAGAGAAATCATGAAAAAGAAGTCTGTATAGATACCTGGGACCAACTTGTAGAGCCTGAAATGGCAAGCTTAGGAATATGGACTTTATTCTGAAAGCAATAGGGAGCCATTGAAGGTTTTATGGCAGTGAGAGAAGTGATCAGATTCATATTTAGGGTGACCTGATTGCCTGCTGTTAGCAAGAAAATCAGTCTAAGATTGGGGCAATAGTTCCAGAGGTAAAGGCAAAGGCGTGAACCAGGTCTAATAGCAGGGATGGAGATGGGCATTTGTCTGAATGGAGCAGACTGAGCCTATTCGGATGGGGAAGTGAGGGAGAGGAGCAACTGTGGGTTCTAATGAATACAGTGAGCAAGTGCGCTAAGGCCCCTCTGTCCTTTTCATGACTGGCTATTTCCCCAAGCTAGTGCCCATGCAGAAGGTGACACTGGGTTCAGTGGAGCATGGAGCAACTGCCTGGTGGCAATACAGGACAGAGGGCAGACTGACTTTATTCCCTGGAGACTTTTATTCTATTCTTTGGGCTTATTAAGGAAAGACTTGAGGCCCTTGGGGGCCCACAAGTCAGGTATTTCTTTAACATTCATTCTTTAACATTCACTAGGACAAAGTTCTGGTGTAGTAGACAGATATATTGAGGCCATATTTTCTGAATATCAAACTGGGACACATGAACTGCATAGGAGTTTTTCAGATTTGACATTTATTTATATGAAAAGTCATTTAATGACATTTTTTTCTTTTTTTTTTTGAGACAGAGTTTCGCTCTTGTTACCCAGGCTGGAGTGCAATGGCGTGATCTTGGCTCACCACAACCTCCGCCTTCTGGGATCAAGCAATTCTCCTGCCTCAGCCTCCTGAGTAGCTGGGACTACAGGCACGCGCCACCATGCCCAGCTAATTTTTGTATTTTTAGTAGAGACAGGGTTTCACCTTGTTGACCAGGATGGTCTCGATCTCTTGACCTCGTGATCCACCCGCCTCGACCTCCCAAAGTGCTGGGATTATAGGCGTGAGCCACCATGCCCAGCCTAATGACATATTTTATGGGTTGAATTGTGTCTCCTCAAAATATATGTTGAAGTTCTAACCCCTAGTACCTCAGAATGTGACCTTGGAAACAAGGTCGTGGCAGATATAATTAGATCAGATAAGGTCATACTGGCGCAGGTCCCATATAACTGGTGTCATTATATGAAAAGGAGAGACACACAGGGAAAATGCCACAGGGGGATGGAGGCAGAGACTGCAGCAAAAACCAAGGGATTCCAAGGACTGATGGCCACCACCAGAAGCTAGGAAGGGGCAAGGAAGGACTCTGCTCAGATTCTCAGAGACAGCACAGCTCCAAGGATGTCTTGATTTCAATGTCTGGTCTTCAGAACAGGGAGAGAAAACATTTTCGTTGGTTGAACCTCCCAGCTTGTGGTATTTTGTTATAGCAGCCTAGGAAACTAATAGCATCTAAATTAGGCTGGGCACAGTGGCTCATGCCTGTAATCCCAGCACTTTGGGAGGCCAACGTGGGTGGATCGCCTGAGGTCAGGAGTTCGAGACCAGCCTAGCCAATATGGTGAAACCCCATCTACTAAAAATACAAAAATTAGCCAGGCGTGGTGGTACAGGCATGTAGTCCCAGCTACTTGGGAGGCTGAGGCGGGAGAATCGCTTGAATCCAGGAGGCAGAGGTTGTAGTAAGCTGAGATTGTGCCACTGCACTCCAGCCTGGGGTACAGAGTGAGACCATGTCTCAAAAAAAAAAAAAAAAATTAAATCACATGTTATTGTTTGTTTGGGCCCCCACTGGTCACCACTTATAAGGGAGGGCTCTTCTCTAGAGCAATGGTGCCCAGTCCCAGGGCAGTGCTTTGAGGGGCTTTTTGTCTGGGCCCTAGCTGCTCCCTGGCCCCTCCACTCAGCAACTTCCCTCCCCTCCCCTCTCAGCTCCAGCACACCATCTTCTGTTTGGGCTTTTCCACCCGTTTCTCCCTCCACATGTCCCCGCTTCTCTCCCGACACCGGCTCCCACCTCCCCTTCCTCAGTGGAGTAGATAAGAGCAGACTGCCTGGTTTCAAGTCCTGGCTGTGCCATTTCCTAGCACCAGCAGTGAGAACTTGGGCAAGTCCTTATCTACCAAATGCCTCAATTTCCTTACCTCTAAAAGGGGAATACTAGCAGTTCCTATCTCATGGGTTGTTTGAGAATGGAAAGGTATTAAAAAGCCTTATGTGGGCTTAGCTCTTTACTCTGTCTTGTAGTAAGCACATGAAAGTGGTTGTTGCTGTTATTGTTATTATTATTTTAGAGACAGGAAGTGCAGTGGCATGATCATCCTGCACTAACACTTCAAACTCCTGGGCTTGGGTGATGCTCCTGCCTGTCTCCATAGTAGCTAGGACTACAGGCACATGCCACCACACCTGGCTAATGTTTAAATTTTTTGTAGTGATGGGGTCTTGCTGTGTTGCTCAGGCTAGTCTCAAACTCCTGGCATCAAGCGTTCCTCCTGTCTTAGCCTCCAGATTAGTTGGGACTACAGGTAAGTGTCACCATGCCCAACAATTTTTTTTAATTTATATTTTTGGAGAGACACGGTCTCATTATGTTGCCCAGGCTGATCTCAAACTCCTGGCCTCAAGCGATCCTCCCACCTCAGCCTCCCAAAGTGCTGGGATAACAGGTGTGGGCCTCCATGCCTGGCCTAGAGTGGATGTTATTACCTGCTTTCCTGTTGGCCTCCAGAATGCCTCCCTGACCACTGGCTTAGCCTCTCGCTGGATTGTGTTACCCACATGGTATTGGAGCTGTCTGCTCTGCCTGCCTCTTCCAGATCATGTTCCTCTCTGGGTAGGAAAGGGGCTATTCTTCACCCTCAGGTCCTAGCACATAGCAGGTGCTCAATGAATGCTTGTTAAATAACCCGTTAAGCAGAGAATTGGCTGAGGCCAAGAAGGTCAGGGTTGTAGAGGTTGGGGACAGCTTTCATAGGATAATGTGCCCATCCTTCTAGAAGTGAGAGTCTTACTCTAGGTTCTGAGAGCATGAGAAGGAAAGTGTGAACCAGAGAAAACAAGGCAGTGGGCAGAACCCCAAACTCTGCTGCAGCACCCCGACCTTGCCCCCAACCCCAGTACATCCTGCTCTCCTGTGATGCCCCCTCCACACTCTGTTGCCCACGCACACCTGCCCTGTCCCCAGGCAGCAGCTTCCCCTGACACACATTTTCCACTGCTGGGCGGCGCAGAGCAGGTTACAGGTGAAAACGGTTTCCTTTCCTGAGTCCTTTCCCCACCTCCCAGCCCCACTCCCTGGCTTGGTTTCTTCCCTGCAGAACATACCTCCCCACAGTCCCTGACTTCAGTGGCACAGGGTCCATTGGGAGCCAGAACATTCACCTAGGTTCTTGAATCAGGTACAGAGTGTAGTCAGGACCTTGGCTCTGCTGCATTTGCACTGTGTGACTCTGGGCAATCCCCTTTGGCCCTCTTTCCCCATCTGTAAAAAGGAATAGTAATTCCAGTCCCTTGGGACTGTTGTAGGGATTAAATGGGACAAGGGAGGGAGTGTGAAGGAGTTTATCAATCGATTATTTGTGGGGACAGGGCAGGAGCCCAGTGGAAGTAGGAGAGGTCCCCTTCTGCGGGTCCAGTACTGTGCCAGCTACTGAGAGGTTGTGAGTATTTAGAATCTAGTGTGTGTTCAGGATGGGGGAGGCAGACTCCAGTGGACAGCATCCTAGCCTGGGAGTAAGAGAGCTGGCTTTGGATCCCCCAACTCTGTGTAACTTTGGCATGTCTCTTCTCTTCAGGCCTCAGTTTCCCTGACTTACAATAAGGGGACTAACTAACTTGGATGCTCTCCAGGTCTGACATCCCAGAGCCTGCACTGTGCCAAGAGAAGGCAAGGCCAGGAAAGAATGGTGCAAACTTCCAAGTTGACACCACTCCTAAGTCACTCTTGCTGAGAACCTGGGGTGAAATCTTGGCTGGATTTCCTCCCATCAGCTTCTGTCACAGGCTCTTTTTGGTCCCTGGCGGGTCTGAATCACTGCTCATCTCATCAGCCAGTCTTCTTTCTTCTGGCTTTACAAGCCCCTGCCCCTCTTTGTTGTTTTTTTTTTGTTTTTTTTTCCCCTGCTCCTCTTTGAAGACCAGCTGCAGTGTTCCTTCCTCCAGGAAGCCTTCTCTGACTCCCTCTGGCAGAATTAGGCATTTCCTCCTTGGAGCTCTCACTGCCCCTCCTAGAAGCCTCCATCACTGCACTTACCTCCCTTGCTTAGACTAAATGTCTGAACACCTCACCAGGTTTAAAGGCAAGAACTGAGTCTTACTTGCGGTTGCATGTCAAGCACCACACAGGACAGTCAGTGGTGATAATGGGAGGATGGATGGAGGAATGGGGATAAAATAAATGAATGGATGAATGAAGGAACTGAGAGATGGATGGCTGTGCAGGCTATGGATAAAAGGTTTTATGAAGGGATGAATAATTGATGAAGCGAATAGGTCAGCAAATAATTAGCTACTGATAATTATTTTTTTTAGACAGAGTTTCACTCTTGTTGTCCAGGCTGGAGTGCAATGGCACGATCTCAGCTCAACACAACCTCCACCTCCCAGTTCAAGTAATTCTCCTGCCTCAGCCTCCCTAGTAGCTGGGATTGCAGGCATGGGCTACCACACCTGGCTAATTTTATATATTTTTTTAGTAGAGATGGGGTTTCTTTATGTTGGTCAGGCTGGTCTCGAACTCCCAACCTCAGGTGATCCACCCACCTTGGCCTCCCAAAGTGCTGGGATTACAGGCATGAGCCACCGCGCCCAACCTGATAATTATTTTTAGCACCACATATCACCACTGGAGTCTGCCTGGACTCCAGTGGACAAACACATGCCTGGACTTGCCAGCACATTCCCCTTGCTTCCGTGATTCTAGGGCTCTGGTTTCCCCTCCAATACATGGGTGTTGGCCAGAGAATCCTCCCATGACTCCACATGAGAGCCTGGGGTAAGCTGCCCATTAGAATGTCCTACGTTTCTCAACCCACTTTAATTTCTCAAGCATCAGGGTGAAGGTGATGGTGATGAAGTCACTGTGAACTCGGTACTACACAAGGCTTGGGAGTGGGTGTTTCTGGATGTTTTGGCTAGGAGGAAATTACTGACCATGACACTAGCAAAGATGCCAAGATGACCCACTGGCTACTTTTCCTGTGCCTAGTCTCGCTTCCCCTATCCTTCCCACATCCAGTACAGCCTGTACCTTCACCCACAAACAACACTCTCCTCTGCAGAAAGAGAATTTTACAGCTGACCTTGAGTCCCTAGCTCTCTTCTGCCACCTGCTCCATGCATGCCACCTCAGAGATCCCAGAAGAATAGGGGTCAGAACCCAGCTTGAGGCTGGGCATGGTGGCTCATACCTGTAATCCCAGCACTTTGGGAGGCCAAGGCAGGCAGATCACCTGAGGTCGGGAGTTGAGACCAGCCTGGCCAATGTGCTAAAACCCCGTCTCTACTAAAAATATAAAAATTAGCTGGGTGTAGTGGTAGGTGCCTGTAATCCCAGCTACTCGGGAGGCTGAGGCATAAAAATAACTTGAACCTGGGAGGTGGAGGTTGCAGTGAGCCGAGGTCACGCCACTGCACTCCAGCCTGGGCGACAGAGCAAGACTCTTGTCTAGAAAAATAAAAAATAAAAAAAATAATGGAACCCAGTTTGGAGGGTTGCTGCCTTTCCTTCAGTCTGTACCCTAGAGTCAGTTGATAGTGGCAACACTATGGGACTTGGGGTCAGAAGGCCTCAGTTCAAGTTTTGACTTTTTAGCCCTTGTCAACTGCTTCACTCTGGGACGAGGGGCCCAGAGGTAAACAGGACAGCAAAGAGAGACAGGCTTTGGGATCACGCAGATGCAGGTTCGAATCCTGCTCCACCAGGGAGTTACTGTGACCTCAGGCAAGCGATTCACTCTTCTGAGTCTCTGCCTTCTCGTCTATAAAATGGGAGAAGAGTACCATCACCTCCCACCTCCCAGATGCTGTTCATCCTCTAGCCATGTGTGATGATGGAAAAGCCTAATTCTGCCCAAGAAAGTCAGAGAAAGCTTCCTAGACATTTTTTCTGTCTTTAAAATCTCAATAATTTTTAAAATTCATTATAATGGATATTACATATTGATAATATTTTGAGACATTGGGTTAAATATGTTACTAAAATAGAAAAGAAAAGATGCTGCTCAAAAGTCCTCTGCTGTGCAGCCATCCCAGCCTCTCCTACAGTTTGGTGGCTTCTCTCCTGCCTTGCCACAGGGTTTGCATGTGCCTCTATTACAGCTTTTATTTATTTTTTTATATAGCTCAGTCACCCAGGCTGGAGTGTAGTGGCGTGATCTCAGCTCACTGCAGCCTCCACTCCTGGGTTCAAGTGATTCTTGTGCCTCAGCCTCCCAGGTAGCTGGGATTACAGGCATACACCACCATGCCTGGCCAATTACTGTGTTTTTTGATGGAGATGGGGTTTCACCATGTTGGCCAGGCTGGTCTTGAACTCCTGACCTCAAGGAATCCACCTGTCTTGGCCTCCCAAAGTGTTGGGATTACAGGCATGAGCCACCACACCCAGCCTATTACAGCTTTTAGAAGTTTTATTGTAGTTGTCTGTTTAGGTGTCTGTCTCTCTGACTAGCCTAGGAGCTCCTTAAGGGCAGGGACTATATCTTGGTCATTTCTACTCCTAGTTCCTTGCATACAGCCTGGCACACAGCAGATGCTCAGCAGTAGTTAATAAAGTGGATGACTATATTCATGTGACAGCAGTATGAATTGCAGTGAGAATTTTATTATTTACCATACCTGGAGTTCTAGGTGAAAACAACAGGATGCATGCCACATCAATTGTGGTCAAGGCTCTGGCAGGAAACAGTTTTGTAAAAAGTTTAATGAATGGACTATTAACAAAGGTGTGGGCAGAGTTTAGGAGAACCAGGGGGAATGGTGCAGTACCCCAGGGCTGGCAATATGGGAAGCTGTTACCAACTGTGGCCTGAAGGGTGGGGAGGGAGAGGTCACCTGGACCCATGGCCAGAGATGTATGCCCAGGGCTGCCTGATAGGAGCTGTAGGCTTTGGTTGAGGCACACAGCCAAGGTGGCAATCCTCTGCAGGAAGGGGCTGGGAAATAAATACCAGTCCCTGTTTGCCTCACCCAGTCAGAAGCCAGAGGGCAATGGGGGCCATTTATGTCACCTACAAAGGCAACCTATCAAGGTACAGAACAGGTTGAGGAAGGGCAGAGGGGAGTTCTAGAGGAGCAAACAGAGATTCAGCATTAGAAAGAGCATAGTACCCTCAGGATCTTTAAGGACCTCTGGATATGCTTATAAAATACAATAAATGCTGGGCACCGTGGCTCACAACTGTAATCCCAACATTTTTCAAGGCCAAGGCAGGTGGATCACTTGAGGTCAGGAGTTCAAGACCACCCTGGATAACATGGTGAAACCCTGTCTCTACTAAAAATACAAAATTAGCATCCGGGCACAGTGGTTCATGCCTGTAATCCCAGCACTTTGGGAGGCCAAAGTGGGTGGATCATGAGGTCAGGAGTTCAAGACCAGTCTGGCCAACATAGTAAAACCCCGTCTCTACTGAAAATACAAAAAATTAGCCGGTGTGGTGGTATGTGCCTGTAACCCCAGCTACTTGGGAGGCTGACACAGGAGAATCACTTGAACCCGGGAGGCAGAGGTTGCAGTGAGTCTAGATGGCACCACCGTACTCCAGCCTGGGTGACAGTACAAGACGCCGTCTTAAAAAAAAAAAAATTTAGCTGAGCATGGTGGCACGCGCCTATAATCCCAGCTACTTGGGAAGCTGATGCAGGAGAATTGCTTGAACCCAGGAGGTGGAGGTTGCAGTGAGCAGAGATGGCGCCGTTGCACTCCAGCCTGGGTGACAGAGTGTGTCTCAGTCTCAATAAAAAAAAAAGAAAAAGGAAAAAAAAAAAACAATAAATGACTATACCCAACAATAATCATTAGCCCTTAAGTGCCTACTGTGTGTCAGGTGCTGTGCTAATCCATTTTCCAGTTGTGGAAACTGAGGCTCAGAGAGGCCAAGCAACCTGCCCAGAGTCACACAACAGGAAGCAGCATAGCCAGGACTGGAACACAGGTGGGCCCCAGAGTGCAGGTTCACATTGCCTCTTAGCAACTACCTATTGCTAGGTACTATTTCCAATCCAAAAAAACTCTGCAAGATCAGCGTTTTTTCCCAGAAACAGAGAGGTCAGGTGATTTCTTCAGGCAACACAGCTCATAGGGGTTGGGGGTAGGGGAAGGGAAGCAGGGTTGGAGAGTTTGCCATTAGTTGGAGCAGGTGACTGGCAGATTGCACGGTGGCAGCCTCAGGGACTTTTTTAGCCTCAATGGGTGGAGCCACCTCTCACCAGGTGCCTTCTGGAGTCACTCCCCAGCTGCAACCACAGGATTTAGACTTTCAAAGATGGGCAGGGCCCTCAGCATCCTCTAGGCTGCCTCTAGCCTGTGACCTTAATAATAATGACTGCAGTCAGCCATGGCTTCCTGAACCCCTGGTATGTTCATTCATTGTCTTTCTCTACATTGTTGCTAATCTGATCACAAAGCTCCTTTAGGATTGTATAATATCTACAGGCAGGTATCATGGGCTGCTCATTTTGTAGATGAAATCTGAGGCTTAAAAGGGAAATGACTTGTCCAGGGTCACAAGGGAAGTCAGACTCTTCAAAGCCAGACCCTGAACCCAGGGCAGTGTATGTAGCTTAGAGCACTGATCCATCCTGGACCCGGAAGGGCTGCATCCACATCCCCGATGGTACCTACCAGCTGTGTTGACCTTGGACAGGTCATTTCTCTCCATCTTAGTTTCCTCCTCTATAAAATAGGAACAGCAATAGCATCTGCTTAATCTAGTTGTGTAAGGATGAAACGAATGATAATACGTAAAGCACTCAAAGCAGTGATTAGAAACACGCTAAGGGTTTCAAAAAAAACCCACACACACTAAGGGTTTTATAAGCATCGTATCCTGGAGTGTACTGAGCTTTCCAACCATTTCTGAGGAGGCTTTTAAAATTATTTCTGTGCGACCCAGGCTTTCATAGTATTCAACTGAGTGGTTGCCGGCAGGGCTACGCACTATGCTTCACAAGCCATGCTTGCCGCATTCAGCCCTCACTGTCACCCCATCCCCATTTTGCAGACAAGGAAACCGAGGCCCAGAGAGAAGTCATGACCCGCCCAGGCTTCCACATCTCAGAAACCGCAGAGCCAGGGTGGCTACTCCCAAGTCCAAAGCTAGTAATTGCCCCTCTTCCAACTGCAGGAAACCCAGATTGTTATGATTATTGGTATTGTTGTCCAAAACAATACTAGAGACGGTGACAATACAACAATCATGGAGGGTGCTTATTTCCACTGGCTCAACAATTATCCCAACGCCTATGCGGAGGGGGCCTGGGGCTTCAAGAAGAGGCTCCTCGAGGCAGGATGAACAAACAAGCAGTGAAAACCTTGCAGCTGGGCCCCAGGTGCTGGGAGAGAGAGTGGGGCAGGAAGCGGGCAGGCCATTTCTTTCCTCTTATTTCTTATTTGTTTGAGAAGCAACTTTACTTTCTAAATCGGTCATTGTCACCCGTTAGCCCCCGCCCCACCTGGGCCAGGGCCTCTGGTGACGGAGGGCAGGAGGAAGCTCTAGGGGGCAGGAGGAATGAGGGTGCAGAGTGGGGCAGGGCCTGGGCCCAGCTGGATATGGGGGCTTCTTTCCTGCAGAGGCCTCATGGGCCACCTTCAGGTGACCTGGGCTTGGCAGACAGTACCTGCTGGAGGGATGACCTGAGTCCTCTAGGTTCAGCTGCCAGTGGGGAGGGAAGGGGACCCTCCTAAACAGGGAGGTAGCTGGCATAGTGGTTAGGGGCCTGGCTCTGGAGTCAGACCTATTTGGCTTCCAAAGGCTGTCACCTTGGGCAAGTTACTTTGCCTCTGTTTTCTCACCTGTAAAACAGAATGGTTCGTTGTGAAGGGTAAATGTAATCAAACAACATGACACATGTAAACATTTAACACAGTTACTAGCTGAAGCACATTTACTAGCTGGAGATTTACTTAAGAAGCCAGCAGGTATTGGGTATTTACTATGCGCCAGGCACTTTTAAAGCATTCCACACATATTAATTCATTTATTCAGCATAATTAACATTCTTCCCACTTAACAGATGAGAAAACTGAGGCACACAGAGAGGTTGAGTTCCTCATGCAGGGGCAGATCCAGGCTTGGCAGGATGTCAGTAAAGGTTATACAATATTGGAGGGCGGTGTGGGGTGCTCTTTAAAAAATGATGATGTACAAGGCCATGCCAATTAGGGACCCAACATTCAAACTTCACCATCCTCACCTTAAATCTCCCTCTAAGCTCTGCCACCCTGCTAGGAAGTGGTAGCAGAGGCCAGGTGGCTAGCTCGAGAACCCATAAGAATTATAAGCAGTATCGAGAGTACATGAGACAGTCACTGCAGAATGCCACATAAATAAGAGGCAGCACTTCCACAGCAGGTACCATGGGCCGCACACTCATTTAACCCTTCCAGGAACCTAATGAGGGTGGCATGTAATTACCATGCCCATTTTACAGATAAGGAAGTCAAGGCTCAGAGAGGACTAATGGTTTTCCTGAAGGCACAGAGCTAAGGAGTGGTTGAGCAGCCTGACAGCCTGACCTCAGAGGACACATGTTTAGCCACTACAATCACGGTCACCTCCCTCATGACTGGGCTCAGCACCTTCCCCTCACCTCCCCTTGCAGGCTCTCCCATCTGTTCCCCAACAGCAGCTTGGGGTGTGGACAAGACACCCCTGCTTTGGAGTCAGAGATGCCTGGATACTAACCTCTTTACCTTGTTGCTTGCTGGCTGTGTGTCCCAGAGACAGTTTTTTTCCATCTCTGAGCCTCAGTTTTCTCATCTGTAAAATAAGGATTGTGTCATTTCTAGGGTGGTCATAAAATACAGATACATCAATTATTATTTTATGTGTTTTGTAATATACTATCAATAAGCCATGTATCATGTATGTACAGTTGCCTCTGGATAACACTACATAGGGTGGTTTGGAGGGTCAGAGTAAGGTGAAGTATCTGGCCCATGTTAAATGCTCAGGATTGGTAGAAATTGCCTTCATGGGGACAAGGGGACAAGTCATTTGTGAGGAGTAGAGGGAATGGAGACACAGACAAAACCAAATGTTGGGAGGCCTGCATTCTAGATGGATTTCTACCACCAGTTTGTGGTGTGACCTTGGACAACACTCCCTCCTTTCTGGGCTCAATTTCTCCATTTGCAAGTTGTATGCATCACTCCCCACTAATGCATGAATGAAATTGTCTCTAAGGTCCTTAAGAAACTGAATTTCTGGGTAGGAACACAGGAGCATCTTCTGAGACTCTCTGAGGGCTGCTCTCATAAAGTTTCCCCCCTATCTTGGGGTACTCTTCATGGCTCCCACTCTTGAGACAAACAGGAGGGTTTGCAGGGAACTCATACATCTCCTCTGCTCCAGCAGAACCACAGTGCGTGGCTCAGCCCGGCGGGCTCTGCAACTGGATAGCCTTTATCTAATCTGTTTCTTACCTGTAAAATAGAGATGAAAATAATATAATAGATGTCCTTATCCTCATTTAACAGAAGAGGAGATGGAGGTTCCAGGAGGCACAGGATTTGCTGGGGGTCATGGCTCTCACCTTGCCCTTGTCGTACTGCCTCTGTCCCACCCTTCTAAGGTGTGGGCTTTCGCTATGGGAATCACAGCTCCCTCTCTCTATCCTAGAGGATTAGATTACATTGTCCTTTGCCCTCTGCCTGACATCCTGTCTCTCCTCTCTCCCCATCTGGCAAACTCATCCAGTGGAGTTGGGCCAGCCCTGGTGTCCTCACTTATGATCATGGTGACCCTAACCAAGCTGCCCACACTCTCTGGGCCCCATCCCCTCATCTGCATCATAGGAGCAATGTGAAAATCCTTGGCATTTCCAGTGCCTGATCCATTGTGAGTGCACATGAAATGTCATCTCAAATGTTGTCTCCTTAGGGGGCTGCCCTGGGGCCTCCATGTGGAACAAGTTTCTCTGGGCTTGCACAGCCCAGTCCCTACAGCACTTACCACCCTGTATCATAACTGTCCACCTCAGGTCTGTACCCCACACATCCTTGGACCCCGTTCTTCTTTGCATCTGCTGTGTTTGGCATAGGGACTGATACACAGCCGGCACTCAGTTAAAGATTGTTCAATGAGTGAATGAATGAATGAATGAAGGACTGGTGCCTGACTGGTGCTTAATTTATTAGTTATCCTTTCTGCCCTGTCAAGATGGCAGGATTCTGGGTGCTACAACCACCAGCACCACCAACTACTGCTATTTCTTTGGCCAGCACTGTAAGTAGCTCCCATTTGTTGAGCATTCACTATGTGCCAGGCACTGGGGTAAGCATTTCTTGGTGTCTCTCACTCAGCCCTCTGTCACCCTATGGGATGGGCGTTCTGCCATTACCCTCATTTAACAGATAAGCAAACAGCCTCTGCTGGGGAAGGTGGCAGAATCAGTATTGGTGAAACCAGGCCTCAGAGCCTTTCCATGTCAGGTGAGGGTGGGCGGTTGGAGCCTAGAACAGAGTGTGATTGACCTCTCCCAGAATTTGCCTTTGACCGTTCTCTCCTCGTAGGACTTCTCTCCTCCCTTGAAGACCCTGCTTCTCCCAGAACCTCTCTCATACCCCTGTGGTATGGTGGTCCCCTTCTCAAGTTCCACCCAACCCTGTTCCCCAGGGTTCTGCCCTCAAGCCTCATAGTGAACTGAGGCAGGGCTGGATTCTCTTTTGTCTGCCTGGCATATTTTTCCAATCCTCTCATTTCCTGTCCACAGGGCCCCACCCAGTGTGGGAAGGGCAGGTAGGCCAATCACAGTGCCCCATTTTCCTTGATACAATGATTGGTTTGGGCCTGGGCATGTGATACAAGCTGAGCCAATCAGAGCACTCCCTGGAACTTTCAATGGAGCCAGTGGGGAAGCTTGGCTCTCTCCTGAAATGAGAGCTGAGAGCTGGTGGGATGTATACATTTGAGCATTTTTACTGGGATTGGAGAATGCCTATCTGCCATTGGAGACAAGGCCTATTCTTTCTTTCTTTTTTTTTGAGACTACTGCCACCCAGGCTGGAGTGCAGTAGTGTGATGTTGGCTCACTGCAACCTCTGCCTCCCAGGTTCAAGCAATTCTCCTGCCTCAGTCTCCCAACTAGCTGGGATTACAGATGTGCACCACCACTCCTGGCTAATTTTTGTATTCCTTTTTTTTTTTGAGACGGAGTTTCGCTGTTGTTACCCAGGCTGGAGTGCAATGGCGCGATCTCGGCTCACTGCAACCTCCGCCTTCTGGGTTCAAGCAATTCTCCTGCCTCAGCCTCCTGAGTAGCTGGCTTTACAGGCGCGCACCACCATGCCCAGCTAATTTTTGTATTTTTAGTAGAGACAGGGTTTCACCTTGTTGACCAGGATGGTCTCGATCTCTTGACCTCGTGATCCACCCGCCTCGGCCTCCCAAAGTGCTGGGATTATAGGCATGAGCCACCACGCCCGGCCCGCCTAATTTTTGTATTCACAGTAGAGACAGTGTTTTACCATGTTGGCCAGGCTGGTCTTGAACTCTTGACCCCAAGTGATCCGCCTGCCTTGGCTTCCCAAAGTGCTGGGATTACAGGGGTGAGCTACCATGCCTGACTGAGAAGGCCCATTCTTAAAGGCAGAGACAAACAGAACTGACTGATGGGGGTGATAGGAGCTAACCCAATGTCATCATTGGAAACACTGGATCCAGCAATGCCCAAAGTTAGACCCACCTTTGAAACTCCAAGATAAAGGAGCCACTATATTTATAGTATCTTTTTTCTTTTTGTTTTGTTTTCCATAACCTAATTTGAACTGAGTTTCTGTCACTTAAAAGATTCCTAAAATTCTCTCTCTCTTGCCTTTCCCTGGATGACCTTGGGCCTTATCTAGTCCTATATCTGGGTGTGTAGTGCAGTCAGTTCTTGAAGAAATGGATGTCTGGGAGGTACCTTAAAGGTGATCCCACTCTGCCAGCCACCTTCCTGGGTAGTCTCCTTAGAGACAATCAGGAATGCTGTCATCATCTGCCTCAGCTCCTGATACAGGAAATTCTGTCACCTTTATTTTCTGTTTCTCCCTCTAATTGTTCTCCTGGATCTACTGCTGTTCAGTTTCAGAAAGTTCTTGCCCAACTTTCCCCCCTCCCTCCCCATTGCCATTACCTTGATTCAGGCCTCCTTCAACTCGCTGCAGTAACGTCAGTCTTCCCTTTCCTCCTCCTTCCCTTTGTCTATCGTCCATATCTATTACCACAGAGATCTTATAGAACCCACACCTGACCATGTCACTCCTGCTGTGAACACTGCGTGGCTCCCTGTCAACCTCAGGATCAAGTCTGAGCTGCGTAGGGTGGTACTGGAGGCCATTCCCAATTCGACTTCATGGTTTTTTTTTTTTTTTTTTTTGACAGTCTCATTCTGTCACCCAGGCTGGAGTGCAGTGGTACAATCTCAGCTCACTGCAACCTCCGCTTCCCAGGTTCAGGAGATTCTCCTGCTTCAGCCTCCCAAGTAGCTGGGATTATAGGCGTGTGCCATGATGCCTGGCTAATTTTTGTATTTTTGGTAGAGATGGGGTTTCACCATGTTGGCCAGGCTCGTCTCAAACTCCTGACCTCAGGCGATCCACCTGCCTCAGCCTCCCAAAGTGTTGGGGTTTACAGGCATGAGCCATCATGCCTGGCTCCAAATTGACTTCATCTTGAACTCATTTCTTCTCCCCATCTTGCATTTCAGTCACATTTCACACCCTTTTCCTGAACATACTACCCCCTTTCTTATCTCTGGACTTCTCTGCTGGAATCTGTGTCTGCCCAGGACGTGCCTTGCTCCTCTTCCCACCTGAGCTACAACCATTCTTCAGAGTCTGGTCATGGCTGACTGCTCCGGGAAGTCCTCCCTGTAACCCCAACCTGAGCCCCTTTGCCCAAAGAGTCGGCTTTCCTCTTCTGTACTGCCATCACACCTGGGCCTTCGCCTCCTGGGCTAACCTGGGACATGAGCCCCCAAGGGCAGGACCCAGCCTGACCTCTCTCTCCACCTTTGGGCCATCGCTGCGCACTGCGGTGACCTCCACGGGTGAAGCAGAATGCCCGGCCCTTCTCAGAGGGATCCTGTTGGCTGATCTCCTTTGGTTCTTGACTAATCCTTGACTCTTTAGGGCAGAGAGGCACCTGGAAGAAATAATTGTAGTCTTTGCATGTGGGTCGTACTTCCAGTTTACCAGGTGTCTCTTGGTTTCTCATTAGTCTTATAGTCTGTGGGTTGTCAGGGAAAATGTTGTCAACCCCGTTTTACAGATGGAAAGCTTGGTTCAGAGAGTTAGGGATGGAACCAATCCCCAGTCTTGGGCAAGCCCCTGACCCTGAGAATCCTTTTGTCATCCAAGCCACCCATTTCCTAAACGTGTGCTGAGAACCAAGGAAAACCAGGGAACCCAAGTAAGAAGAGGGAATGCAGGTTCTGGACTGGGCTAAGAGCAACAGTAATGAGGACCCCACGCAGCCACTGCCCTTGCCCTGCACTGTGTTCCATCCACTAGATGAGCATCATCTGCTTATGAAGAAGCGTTACTCATTCCCATGTTACAAATAAGAAAACCGAGACACAGCACAGCTAAGAGACTTGCCTCTCTCGGGCCAGTTTCCTTCTGATGATTTGGTGATCGCTATAGCCCTTTACAGTTTGTAATTTTAGCACCCCTTCCCTGCTCTCACCAGTCTAACACTGGTAGGTGAACGTGCTCTCATTTGACAGAAGCAGCAACTGAGGCTCAGAAGTCAAGGGCGGACCTAGGAGATGGCACCCAGCCTTCGGATCAGGGGAGCCCGTCCGGAGCCTGGTGGCGCAGCTCTAGCGGGGAGGCGGGGAGCAGGCGGCAGGGCCACGAGTGGGCGTCCGCGTCTCTTCCCCGCCAGCCGCTGGAGCTCAGCTTCCCCACAGTGAGCGCCGCAGGTGCGCAGCGGGTGGCGGCGTCTGCGCGGCGGGTGCGTCCGCGTGGGCGTGGGTGAGGGACCTGGGCGGGCGGGGCCCCACGCCCATCCTCCCTCCCTCCCGCTGTCTCTCCCGTGGCTGGTGGCAGGTGAGTGGGTGTCGAGGAACCGCCAGGCAGCGGAGAAAACAGGACGCCGCAGAAATCAGATTACTCACCTGCAGCTGCTACTACCCAGAGCTAATAAAAGCAGAACTTCCTGTTGATTCTTTATTACCACCCTCTGCCTCCCTCCGCCCCAATCCACTCCCAGCTGCAGCCAGAGCCCCAACTGATCACCAGAAACCGGTTACTTGGGGTCCAGGGCAGTCCAGTTCCTGAAATCCCCTCCTCTGTACAGCACAGGGTTGGGCTCATGCTGCCTCAAGGGTGGACTCCGGTTACCTGCATGGGAACCACCTGGGGTGCTGGTTAACACCACACATCCCCAAACAGGGCTTCACACCTGCTCCATCAGAATTCCTGCAGTTTGGGGCCCAAGAGCAGGAATTCATAGGAATCGCAGGTGATTTGTAGGCAGGCTAAAGTTTTGAGAACCGCAGAGTCTGGATGTTGTAGGTTCAGATGATGTGGGTTTCTTTTTCTTAAATGCAACCCATAAATTAGGGATGGAACCTATCCCTCGTCTTGGGCATGTCAGCCAGAGCCTCAGTCTGCTTATTTGTAAAATGGGGGTGAAAATAATACAGACCTCTTGGGAGGACTGAAACAAGGCTCAAATGGAGAATACACTTAACGTGATTCCTAGTGGTTGCTCCTGGAGTTTACAGACCAGCCGGGACTAGGCATGGAGCGCCATCCATGGAGTGTGAGGAGCTGGATGGGCCTGGGCTGGAAAGGGGCTGTGATTCACCCTGGGTGCCCTGAGAAAGACCTTTCAGTATCCAGCTTCTCCAAAGTTCAGTCCCCCTCACACCAGGAAAATGTTCTTGCCTAAGCTATTGACAACCCTGATGGCTAGATCCAGTGGCCTCTTCTCAGCCCTTCTGTGGCACCTGATTCTGGGGCGGGCCTCACCTTTCTCATCCAAGCTGTCATCTCTCTCAACTTCAGGGCAAGTATGAATCCCCATCTTCATCGTCCTTCTATCTAGCTAGCTCCCTTGCAGGCCCCCTCCTCCTAGCCCTTCCTCCTCCTGCCTCTGCCGTCTTGGGCACCTTAGCCTACTACGCAGCCAGGACAACCTCATCCATTCCCAGTTATGTTTCTTAAGCTGAGCAGTGCCCTTCCTGAGCCCCTGATTCATAAACACAGCACCTCCTAAGACATCTCTGCTTGATGACTCCCCTTCACCCAACTCAACTCAACCAGCTCCAAGCTCATCATCTCACGCTCACCTGCCACCAGCCTCTTCTCGTTTCTCCGTCTCAGGGCAACACACCTGGATGTTGTCCCAGCTGATTTCTGCTCTCAGCTCCCACATAAGTTTTCCAATCCAGTGCATTTTATCTCCTTAGTTTTGCTCCAGAATCTGTCCCTTCCCAGTCTTCCTGTCCCTCTGCACTTCAGGTCCCCTAGTTCAGGACTCCATAATCTCTCACCTGGATGACTCTAAAAGCCTCTTAGACGGCCTTCCTGGCTCTAGTCTCACCCTTACTTTGGACGGGGGGCTCATTCTGAGACACAAATCTTGTCCTTGCTTTGTTTCAACCCATCAGTGGCTCCACAGTACAACTCAAAGTCCTCCCTTTCAAAGCTCACCTGGACAGAGCAACACTCTCCTCTCCACCCCACCCTCTCAGCACCTGGCACAGTGACATTTACTGCGCTCTTAATGCTCAGTACCATGGCAAGCCAGTTATCTTTGTAGCTTTATCTCAGCCTCATGCCATTTCCATGATTATTATTCCTGACTTACAGATGAAAAAGCTGAGGAAGAGGGAGGCTAGGTAGTTTGCCCAAGGCCACAAAGCTAGTAAGTAGCAGATTTGTATCCAGGTCTCTCTGGATCCAAAGCTGGTACCGTTAGCTGTTCTAATCTTGAGCCACCTCGTCCCAGTTACATAGTCTTCTCCTTTTTTATATTTTGCCTGGCATCTCAGAGGATGCCTGGCATATGACAGATGTTTGTTGAATGAACAAATCTATCTGCACTCCCATTTAATTCTTTTTTTTTTTTTTGAGACGGAGTTTCGCTCTTGTCACCCAGGCTGGAGTGCGGTGGCACAATCTCGGCCCACGGCAACCTGTGCCTCCTGGGTTCAAGCAATTCTCTTGCCTCAACCTCCCTAGTAGCTGGGATTATAGGCGTGGGCCACTACATCTAGCTAATTTTTGTATTTTTAGTGGAGCTGAGGTTTTACCATGTTGGCCAGGGTGGTCTCAAACTCCTGACCTCAGGTGATCCACCCACCCCGGCCTCCCAAAGTGCTGGGATAACAGGTGTGAGCCTCCATGCTTGGCCCCATTTAGTTCTTACAACAACCCTAGGAACTACAAAAGTTTTAAAAACAAAGTCATATTATGTAATATTTGATGACTATAAAAAAAAGTATGTTGAATATCTTGTGTATGAAGACAAACACTTGCGATCCCATGGCCTCAGCTTAGGAACTAGACCTTCACCAGCACCACTGAGGCCACCTGTGTGTGCCTACTCAGTCCTACTCCCTGCCTTCCTCCAGACGTAAACACTATCCTGAATTTTGTGGTCATCATTCCCTCGCTTTGAAAAAAAGTAATTTTACCAAATGGGGAGGATGCTGGGCAACACATTATTTTGTTTATTGACCTTTATATAAACAGCACAGTGTGCGTGCATTCTTCTTTGGCTTGATTGTTTTTCATGCATCACTATGTTTCTAAAATATGTATGTGACTTTGCATCTTTGGCTGGCCTCCATTCCTTTTTCCAGCTGTCTAGTACTCTATTGTCAAATAGAATTCAGTGACTTTGGGCCAGGCACGATGGCTAACACGTGCAATCCCAGCACTTTGGGAGGCCAAGGCATGCGGATCAGCTGAGATCGGAAGTTTGAGACCAGCGGGACCAACATAGAGAAACTCTGTCTCTATTAAAAATGCAAAATTAGCTGGGTGTGGTGGCATGTGCCTGTAATCCCAGCTACTCAGGAGGTTGGGGCAGGAGAATCTCTTGAACCCGGGAGGTGGAGGTTGCAATGAGCTGAGATCAAGCCATTGCACTCCAGCCTGGGCAACAAGAGTGAAACTCCAGCTCAAAAAAAAAAAAAAAAAAAAGAGAATTCAGTGACTTTATCCATTCTCCAGTCAATGAGCACATGGATTGTTTCCAGTTTTTCGTTATCACCAGTAAGGCTGCCATGATCATTCTTATACCTATGTCTTGGTGCACACATGTAGAAGTTTCTCTAAGCTACATACCTAAGACTGTAATTGTGGGTCATTGGGTATGCACATAATTAACTTTACAAGATGTTTCCAAGTGATTTTCTGAAGTGCTTGTATGGACTAACATTCTTCCCTCCCTTCTCCGCAGTGGATGAGAGTTCTAGTACCTCCATATCCTCCCCAACATAGTATGACCAGATTCCTTCACTGTTCCTCACATGGTCTTCATGTGCACCTCCCTAATAAGATGAGACATCTTTTCATATGTTTATTTTGCATTCTTGTTTCTTTTCTGTAAATTGGCTGTCCAGTCCTTTTGCCCACTTCTCTATTAGGTTGGTTAGCCTTTGCTTATTGGTTGGAGGCATTCTCGGAGAAGTTTTTTTTAAATTTTTTAGTAGAATTAGAATCTGAGATCCAAGTTCATGGAGGACAGAGCCAGCCCCAAACCTACGTATGGCTGCTTCCAGGGCCCGTAGTATCCACCAATTGTCTCTCATTCATTCATTTTTCCTTCTTTCTTTCTTCCTTTTTTTTTTTTTTTTTTTTTTGAGATAGAGTCTCACTCTTTCACCCAGGCTGGAGTACAGTGGCGTGATCTTGGCTCATTGCAACCTCTGCCTCCCAGGTTCAAGTGACTCTCCTGCCTCAGCTTCCCGAGTAGTGGAGACTACAGGTGTGTGCCACCATACCCGGCTAATTTTTTTTTTTTTTAGGAGAGTCAGGGTTTCACCATGTTAACCAGGCTGGTCTTGAGCTCCTGACCTCAAGAGATGTGCCTGCGTCAGCCTCCCAAAGTCCTGGGATTACAGATGTAAGCTGCTGCACCTGGTTCATTTATTCATTTCTCAAATGTCTACTGATGACTTTCTCAGTAAATACTGGAGAGGGAGTAGATGGTTGTGGTTAACAGTGTAGATTCTGGAGCCCCCTACCTAGATTTTCATCTCTGCCTCTTACTAGTTGTGACCGTAGATACATTTCTAAACTACCCGTGCCTTAATTTCCTTTCTATAAAATAAGGATGTTAATAAAGTCTCTCCCTCACAGGGCTGATGTATGAGGACTGATGAATGAGTTAATTCAAATAAAAGGGCTTAGGAGGCCGGGCAGTGCACAGTCAGTGCTGAATAAATAAATAGCACATGCCAGGCTCTGGGCCTGCAGCACATCGTTCTGGGGACACAGGAATGAAAAAAGACAGACAGTGACACGGACGTCATGCAGCTCACTGTCCAACAGAAAGAGACAAACACAAAACAAGTAAATAAACAAAATAATGTGGCTGTGATAAAGGCAAGGAAGAAAACCGCAAGGTGACAAGACAGAGGGTGACGAGACAGAGAGAGTGACCAGGCAGTGACTCAGCTGAGGGGTCATGCAGGGACAGCCCCCTGTAGGAGTTAACATTTAGGCTGACATGTGGAGGAGGAGAAAAAGCCACCCAGGCAAAGAGCAGAAGAAGATGGCTTAGCAAAGAAAAGGGAAGGTGCAAAGGCCCTGAGGCAGGAAGAGCTTGTCATTTCAAGAACTGCAAGGAGAACACTGTGGCCGTGGCTGTGGCTGTGGCTGCAGCCAACTGAACACAGAGATGACAGCAGGAAGAAGGTGGGGAAGCACGAGGGCAAAGGGTCTGGATTTTATTCCAAGTGCAGTGGGTGGTTTTGGACAGCAGAGTGTTGTGATCTGATTTATGTCTTTATTGTATTTTATTGAAACAGAGTCTTGCTCTGTCCCTTAGGCTGGAGTGCAGTGGTGCTATCTCGGCTCACTGCAACCTCCGTCTCCCAGTTTCAAGTGATTATCGTGCCTCAGCCTCCAGAGTAGCTGGGATTACAAGCGCCCACCACTACACCCAGCTAATTTTTTTTTTTTTTCTTGTAGAGACAGGGTTTTGTCATGTTGGCCAGGCTGGTCTCAAACTCCTGACCTCAAGTGATCCACCTGCCTTGGCCTTCTAAAGTGTTGAAATTAGAGGCGTGAGCCACCGTACTCAGCCTGATTTGTGTCTTTAAAAGATCACTCTGACTGCCATCAACTATCTATGAACTGATCTAAATACTTCTTGAAGCCACTAGTATTTTTAGCCAATACCCCCTCTGTTCGAAGCAAAACTTCCCTTTATTGGTCTTAAATTTAATTCTTTCGGGTTTCAAGGGGAGCCCCCTTCTGTCTCCTATCTGAGGGTTAGTGGCCCAGTGCGAGATCTCTAGTAAAGATTTTTACAGAGCGGGTGGGAAGAGGGTCTCCCAGTTTACACCTTACTTACTCTGTGATGTTTCACCACCTGTAAAATGAACGTAATGAGAGTGGCCATCTCAAGAGGCTTCTACGATGAAATGGGACACAGCTTGGCAGCAGGGAGTGATGAATATAGGCTGGCTTCCATGCAGATAACAATTCTGGTGATTAGGAGGAGGATGATAATGATAGGAATGATATTGAAGATGATGAGGAGGAGGATGGTGGTGATGATGATGTTGGTGATGATGTTGATGGGGATGATGGGGATTCTGGGGTGTGATACTGGGTAAGTCAGTGAACCACATTTTCCATGTCTATCAAGTAAGGGTGTTGGACCAAATGATCTGTGGGGGCCCATCCAGGTCTGATGTTCTAGAATTTTCTAGTTTAGGCTTTCTCCTCCTCCTTTCAGCCTGGGTTACTCTCTTCCCTGCAATTTTGGTCATCCTAGTGACATGTGATGAGAGATGGAGTATTATAGTAGAGAGAAAACTGACGTGGAGTCAGGCAGCTGGAGGTTCCAGCTGCACCATTTACGGTGGAGTCTTCATCATGGTGCATTTAACTTACACACTTTTGTAAAATTTTGAGACAGGGTCTTCCTCTGTCACCCAGGCTGGAGTGCAATGGCATGAACTTGGCTCACTGCAACTTCCACTTCCTGGGTTCAAGTGATTCTCATGCTTCTGCCTCCCGAGTAGCTGGGATTACAGATATGCACCACCATGCCTGGCTAATTTTGTAGTTTTAGTAGAGACAGGGTTTCACCATGTTGCCTAGGCTGGTCTCGAACTCCTGGCCTCCCAAAGTATTGGGATTACAGGCGTGAGCCACTGCACCCAGCCTAATATGCACACATTTAAACATGCGTGTAAAGGGAGGGGAGATAGCATGTTGTGAATGAATCGCTGCTACAGAGTCACACTCCCATTCCACTTGGTGAGCACCCACCCCTTGAGGGGGAATGTGACTTGCCACAATGTGACCTGTCCCCCCACTGGCCCAAGTTCCTGCACATTCAGCCTCATGTGGCTCTCATCATGCTGAGTGTGATCCTGGCGTTCAAAGGGTTTTTGTAGCCAACCATTTCACCTGTGGTAAGCGGAAGGCGAAGCTTTCCGTAACAACACCTGAGAAAAAAAGAACCTGCTGTATTAGCTGTCAGCTGTTGAAGGACTTTGCTGTCTGTTTCACTGAGAAACAGAAGCAATTAGAAGGAAAATTCCTCAGACTCCACCTCTCCCTTCACTTCCGCATGTACCAATGCCTGTTACCTGGAGGCCTTGTGTGCATTCAAATTTGATGCCCTCCATGGGGCACTGCCCTTTGTCCTCTCTCACCTCCTCCAGGACAACAATGAGCAATTCTTTGTGTCTCTCCCTCAGTGCCAGGGGTCCCCCTTTTGTGCTGGCTCATTCACATCAGCACATAATCGGCTGCTGTTCCCTTCATCTTACACACACACACAGGCGTGCGTGCACACACGTACAAACCCATGCACACACACCCACACCGCCATATTTCTTTGCTCTCCCAGGAAAACATCTCACAGAGTTTTCTGGGTTGACCATCTTCATTCCTCCTTCCTTTTCTCTCTCCAGCTCTCTCTGGGGCTTTCACTCCCACTGCTCCACTGAAACTGCTCTTGTCGAGGTCAACGATGACCTCTAGCTGACAAACTCAACAGTCCCATCTGTCCTCAACATCGGCCCTGGGCCAGCGACTGTGCCCTCCTCCCTGCTGGATGTCCTGCCCATTTCTTCCTAGGCCCCCTCTCTCCTGGTCCTCCCACCTCACAGGATCCCTTGTCAGTTTCCTTTGCTGGTTCTCCCTCATGTCCCCAACTTCCACAGGCCAGGGTGCCCCAGAAGTCAGCCTTGGGACTTCTTCTCTTCTCTAGCTCACTTCTGGGTGCTCTCGCTCAGTCCCGAGGTGTTCATACATTCTCTCTGCAGTTGGCTGTAGATGAGTATCTCCAGCCCAGCCCCTCCAGCTCAGCATCAGGCTCACATGTCTCCAGTCAGATATCCAATAGGAACCCAAACTGGATATATCTACAGATGAATTCTTCATTTCACCCCCAAATGTAATCGTCCCTGGGTCTTCCCATCCCAGCAAAAGGCAACTCCATCCTTTCATTGTTCAGGTCACAATGTGGGCTGTCCTTGACTCTGCTTTCTTACACCTGCATCTGACCCATCAAGAATAGCATGAGCTCCACCTTCCAAAGCTTCCACAATTTCACCATCTCCACTGTTCCTACCTGTGTCCGAGGTACCACCATTTCTTGCCTGGGGTTGTGTAAGAACCTCCTAGTGAGGGTCCCTGCTTCCAGCCTAATGCTCCCTGCAGCCTTTATACCCCATAGAGTAGCCAATGTGATTTATTTACTTATTTATTATTTGGAGACAGAGTCTCTCTCTATCCCCCAGATTGGAGTGCAGCGGTGTGACCTTGGCTCACTGCAACCTCTGCCTCCAGGGTTCAAGTGATTCTCATGCCTCAGCCTCCTGAGTAGCTGGGATTACAGGCACCAGCCACCATGCCCAGCTAATTTTTTATTTTTAGTAGAGACAGGGTTTTGCCATGTTGGCCAGGCTGGTCTCAAACTCCCTGAACTCAGATGATCTGCCCGCCTCGGCCTCCCAAAGTGCTGGGATTACAAGAATGAGCCACCGTGCCTGGCCAATGTGATCTTTTTAAAACATGAGTCAAATTACTTCCTTCCTCTGTTCAAATCCCCCAGGGGCTCCCTTCTCACTCAGAGAAAATCTTAACACTGTTCCATGGCCTAGAAAGTCCAACCTGAGCTGTGCACACCCTTCCCCACCTTACCGCCTGTTGCTTTTCGCTCCCTTGCCCCGCCACACTGACCTCCCTGCTGTCTTTGAGCAGCCAAGCACAATCACACCTCCAGGCCTTCGCCCTTGTATTCTGTCTGCCTAGAGAAGATAACTGCCCCTGCCCATTTATCCATGGCAGGGCTCACTCCTGCTCATCACTAGGCTAGCTTCTCTCTGGCCATCCTGCTGTATATACTATAGCACCCAATCCTCTCCCACCTCTCCCACTCTCCGGCCCCTCTTCCTGCTTTACTTTTCTTCATGGCATTCATCACCTTCGAACTGACGTTTCTTTACTGTTTGTCTCTCCCACTGGAATGTTGTAGTCCTCATCATCAGCAGAGACTTGATTTCATCCTCTACTATATTATCCTGAAGAGTGTCTGGCTCATGGTGGCTGTTGAATAAATATGTGTTAAGTGCATGAAAGCATTTGCATAACTTGGAAGCTATTTGTTGGTGTCCACTGCTCTCCAGCCTGGGCGACAGAGTGAGGCCCTGCCTCAAACAATAATAATAATAATATTGGTGAGGACTAGGTGCTAATCCCAGTACTTTGGGAGGCTGAGGTGGGTGGATTGCTGGAAACCAGGAGCTCAAGACCAACCTGGGCAACATAGTGAGACCCTGTCTCTCAAAAAATTTTAAAAAGTAGCTATGCATAGTGGCACATGCCTGTGGTCCCAGCTATTCAGGAGGCTGAAGTGGGAGGATCACTTGAGCCCAGGAGATCAAGACTACAGTCAACCGTGATCATGCCACTGCACTCCAGCCTGGGAGTCTGAGGGAAACTGTTTCTATACTGGTGAGGATATTGGTAGCTGGAGAATCTCAGGCATTATCAGTGAAAGTGTGCTTTGCTATTACCCTAGTGTGAGGCAAGTCCTTTGACTCCTGAATCCTCAATCTAGGAATTTACCCTTAGGAAATTCTTACCCAATGGCAAAAAGATGCAGAGATGTTCACAGAACTTTTTTATTCATAATAGTGAAAAATTGGAAATGACACCAATGTCTAACCATGCGAGGGTTGTTAAAATTATGATAGCGCCATATAATGAATACTAAGAGGTCATCAAACATGATGTTGGCTAAGGATACTTCATGAAACTTGAGAATATGTTTATAATCTATTATCAAGTGAACATTTTTTTAAAACCAACAGGCCAGGCATGGTGGCTCATGCCTGTAATCCTAGCACTTTGGGAGGCCGAGGTGGGTGGATCACCTGAGGTCAGGAGTTTGAGATCAGCCTGGCCAACATGGTGAAACCCCATCTCTACTACAAATACAAAAATTAGCCAGGCGTGATGGCACATGATTTTAATCCCAGCTACCTAGGAGGCTGAGGCAGGAGAATCTCTGGAACTGGGAGGTGGAGGTTGCAGTGAGCCGAGATTGCACCACTGTATTCCAGTCTGGGCAACAGAGCGAGACTCCATCTCAAAGAAAAAAAAAAAAAAACCGGCCGTGCACGGTGGCTCACGCCTGTAATCCCAGTGCTTTGGGAGGCCAAGGCGGGTGTATCACAAGGTCAAGAGGTCGAGACCATCCTGGTCAACATGGTGAAACCCCGTCTCTACTAAAAATACAAAAAATTAGCTGGGCATGGTGGCACGTGCCTATAATCCCAGCTACTCAGGAAGCTGAGGCAGGAGAATTGCCTGAACCCAGGAGGCAGAGGTTGCAGTGAGCCAAGATCGCGCCATTGCACTCCAGCCTGGGTAACAAGCGAAACTCCGTCTTAAAAAAAAAAAAAAAGCCAACAAATTTCAGAGCAACATGTAAAGTGTGATGTCATTCTTGTGTACACATATTTGTGCATATTCAAACCCGGGAAGCTATTTAGAAAGAGGACACCAACATATTTAAAATATGGTGGTTTTCACTGTTGAATCAAGGTGGTGGGGTGTGTAGGGGGGTTCACTGTGTTATTCTTTCAAACTTTCTGGATGTTTAAAAAATCTGGGCCAGGTGTAGTGGCTCACGCCTGTAATCCCAGCACTTTGGGAGGCCAAGACAGGCCTTGGCAGGATCGCTTGAGCCAGGAGTTTGAGACCAGCCTGGACAACATGGTGAAACCCCATCTCTACAAAAAAATATAAAAATTAGTCGGGTGTGGTGGTGTGCACCTGTAGCCCTCGACTCAGGAGGCTAAGGTGAAAGGATTGCTTGAGGCTGGGAGGTTGAGGCTGCACTGAGCCAAGATTGCATCACTGCGCTCCAGCCTGGGTGAAAGAGTGAGAACCTGTCACAAAAAAAAGAAAAAAAAGAAAAAGTCTATTTAGGTGTGGTGGCTCACGCCGGTGGTCTCAGCACTTTGGGAGGCTGAGGCAGCAGAACCACTTGAGGCCAAGAGTTAGAGACCAACCTGGGCAATGTAGTGAGATCCAACCTCTAAAAAAATTTTTTTTTAATTAGCTGGATGTGGTAGCAAATGCCTGTGTTCCCAACAGCTCTGGAGGCTGAGGTGGGAGGACTGCTTTGAGCCCAGGAGGTCCAGGCTGCAGTTAGCCCTGATTGTGCCACTGTACTCCAGCCTGGGTGACAGAATGAGACCCTGTCTTGAAAAGAAAAGAAAGAGGGAGGGAGGGGAAGGAAGGAAGGAAGGAAAGAAAGAAGAATGGAATGGAGGGAGGCAGAAAGAGAGAGAGAAAGAAAGAAAAAGAAAGAAAGAAAGATCTTACAATAAAAAATTGAAAGACCTGTAATCACAGCATTTTGGGAGGCTGAGGTGGGTGGATCACTTGAGGTCAAGAGTTGGAGACCAGCCTGGCCAACAAGGTGAAACCCCACCTCTACTAAAAATACAAAAATCAGCTGGGCATGGTGGCCTGTGCCTGTAATCCCTGCTAGTTGGACAGCTGAGGCAGGAGAATCGCTTGAACCCAGGAGGCAGAGGTTGCAGTGAACCAAGATCATGCCACTGTACTCTAGCCTGGGTGACAGAGTAAAACTCCATCTCAAAAAAAATTTTTTTTTTGAAAGAAAATATGGTTATTTGGGGGTAGAAGGATGTAGGGAGATTGCTTTTCTTCTTTACCCCTCATGTATTTTATTTGCTTTCCTATAATGAGCGTCTACCACTTTTACACAACTAATGAATTGATATCAAAATGAAATACAATTCTTGTCATACAAAATGTTTAAATTTTAAAAATAAACAGTAGTTGTCTTGATAGTTTAAAAAGATGGGCCAGGCATGGTGGCTCACACCTGTAATCCCAGAACTTTGGGAGGCTGAGGCGGGTGGATCACAAAGTCAAGAGATCAAGACCATCCTGGCCAACAGGGTGAAACCCTGTCTCTATTAGAAATACAAAAATTAGCTGGGCGTGGTGGCGTGTACCTGTAGCCCAGCTACTTGGGAGGCTGAGGCAGGAGAATTGCTTGAATCTGGGATGCAGAGGTTGCAACAGTGAGCTGAGATCACACCATTACATTCCAGCCTGGTGACAGAGCGAGACTCTGTCTCAAAAAAAAAAAAAAAATGGAAGACAACACAAATACCTGTAAATAGAGAACTGAGTACGTAAATTATGGTAATCAAACAAACATTCCTCCCCTGTTTAAAAATATGTTATAGAAAAGATATTTACAGTAATTTGGTAAGCGAAAAAAACAGGCCATAAAACAGACGGTAGAGTCTTACGCCAATTTTGAAAAAAAAGAGTATATGTTGCCCACCCATAGAAAAAACTGGAAATATCCATGCCAAAATGTTAGCAGTGGTTTTCTTTGGGAAATGGAATGACAGGTGTTTTTCCTTCCTTCCTTTTGCTTATTCATATGTCGTAAATTGGTTTTATCCAGTAGAACTTTCTGTGATGATGGAAATGTTCTCTATCTGCCTCGTTCAGTGTTATCATAGCCACTAACCACATGTAGAGTACTTCAAATATGGCTAGTTGTCTGGGCCTAGTGGCCCACGCCTGTAGTCCCAGCACTTTGGGAGGTCCAGATGGGCAGATCACTTGAGCCCAGGGGTTTGAGACCAGCTAGGGCAAGGTAGCAAAACCCTGTTTCTACAAAACAAAAATGCAAAAATGAGCTGGGTGTGGTGGTGTGTGTCTGTAGTCCCAGCTACTTGGGAGGCTGAGCTGGGAGGATTGCCTGAACCCAGGAGGTCCAGGCTGCAGTGAGCCATGATTGTACCACTGCACTCCAGCCTGAGCAGCAGAGCAAGACCCTGCCTCAAAATAAATAAATGTGGCTAGTGAGACTGAAAAATAAAATTTTTGTTGTATTTAATTCTAATTAATTTAAACTTAAGTGGCCACATGTAGCTAGAGGCTACTGCATTGGGCAGCATAGTTCTCAAATGTTTACCAAGAACACACATATTGGCTTTGCAAAGAGGGAAAAAAGCTTTTCCTCCTTTTTTTCCCTTGTATGGTTATTTGATCTGCCATGGCTTTTTGCAGAGCTCATTTGAGATCCCAGGGAGAGGCAGTGAATGCAAGGGCTTTGCAAACTGTAAAGTGCTGTTCTCAGGAGGTGCTGCCGTATGAGACTCTTTTTCCCCTTGCCTGGAATCCTTTTCCTCCTGTCCCCATGGGCTCCCAGCTAAGATAGAGCCCTGACCGGAGAAAGCATCTTCAGATAGTCTCTCAAGGGGAAAGAGGGTGTCCTGGGGTCTGGCCCCTGCAGCTAAGGCTCTCTCCTGAAAAGACTTTCCAGGAAGCGTTCATTCATTCATGCATTCATTCAACAACCATTACTAGCCCTCCTTCTTCTCACGAGTCACTGCACTAGGCCCTGAGTAGAGTGGGGTGGCTCAAAGTCTAGGCTTTGGGAGGTGAGTGGTAAGTCACAGGGCTGGGACACAGAATTTCAGCTCAGCCACCCGTGGGCATGCCCCTTAATCTTCCTAAACTTCTATTTTTCTCTTCTGTAAAAGCAGGAAAATAGTGATTATTTTGCCAATAGGGTCAATCAGGGCTGGGAAAGTGAATTACAGAGGCCTGCAGAGACATTCATGATCAAAGAATATGCTTTCCTGAGAGAATAAGTGGGTAGTGACAGCCAACTTCAATGCCCATGTAGATGTTTTATTAATAATATTTTATCAGAACACATCAGAGTTTCTTTAAGAGTAGTTAAAATATCAGCCAGGCACAGTGGCTCACACCTATAATCCCAGCACTTTGGGAGGTGAAGGTGGGTGGATCAACTGAGGTCAGGAATTCAAGACCAGCCTGGCCAACATGGTAAAACCCCATCTCTACTAATTATACAAAAAAATCAGCCAGGTGTGGTGGTGGATGCCTCCAGTCCCAGCTATTTGGGAGGCTGAGGCAGGAGAATTGCTTGAACCTGGGAGGCAGAGGTTGCAGTGAGCTGAGATCACTCCATTGCACTCCAGCCTGGGCAACAAATGCGAAACTCCGTCTAAAAAAAAAAAAGAAGAGTAGTTAAAATATCAAGCTTAAGGAAACCAGGAAAAAGGTGTTATCATTCATCTGTACAGCATTTGTTGATTCCCAATGAAGTTCCAGGCCAAGGTGGAGTAGGGGATCAGTCTGGGAATACAGACCTGGGTCATGGCCTTGCCCTTGGGGACCTGATAGGAGAAGACATGTCAGGAAATAGCCTTTTTATTCATTCATTCCTCTGGCATATGCCAGCCCTCTAGGGACCTAATGAAAGACATCCACAGCCTCGCTCTCAGGAAACTTTTAAAGGAAGTGGGGAGGCAGATATTCTTCAAATAGTCACTCAAATACATAATTATAAACAGTGATAAGGGTTAAGCAGAGGAAGTACAGAGTGCTATGAAGACATCACGGGGACCTTGACATACTGCTGGTGATGAGAGGGTCAGAGATGGCATCTCTGGAGAGGTCAGCATCTGAAGGAGTTGAATAAGGACTGATAGGGTGGGGAAAGATGAGGCAGAAACAGCACGTGTGAAGGCCCCGAGCTGGGAAAGAGCAGGGTGCTTGTGAGGCCAGTGTGGCGTGAACCCAGCTGGCAGAAGGGAGGGGTGCAGTATGCAGCTGAGGCTCTAGTGGACCACAGTAAGGAGCCAGTGAAGGCTTTATAGGGAAGGACAGTGAGGACAGCTGTCCATTCTGGATGGAACACTGAAGGGGCAGAGTGGACGAGGCATGGGCATGTTGGCAGCCTGTGCCAGGGAGACAGCATGAGGTTGAGAGAAGGGGAGAAATTTGAGGGCTGTTTGGGAGGTAAGTGGAGCAAGACTTGGGGTTAGATTGGCCCTGGGAGAGGTGGCAGGAGGGGTCCCAGTGGGTAAGCTCTGTGGCCCAGGAAGGGCTAGCTAAAGCCTGACCTGGGGAAGCCTCCCAAATGGAGCAGATCTCCCCAGCTTCATGAAATGGGTTGCAGCACTCCTGGTGGAGAGAAAGGGGAAAGACGTCTATTCCTGGGGAACAGAAATTCAGCTGGTTGTCAGTGAAATGAAACTAACATTGATTGAGTATGGACCATGTACCAAGCCCTTTCTAAGTGCTTTACCTTCATCATCTCGTTTAATCCTCCCAACAACTCTACAAGGTCAGTGTTATCACTCTCATTTTACAGCCCAGGAAGCTGAGGCTCAGAGAGGCGCTGAGACTGGGATGTGGACTCCAAGCAGGCTGACCCCATCCTGCCTTTTAATCATGGCATCAAACTGCTCTTGTGGTTTGGGATGATTAGAGTCTGAGAGAGTTGGAGAGGGTAAGGAGAGGGTTGAGTCTGAGGCTAAGAGATGGGCTGGGACCAGATCCCAGGGTCTGCTGGTGTCAGACTTGGGGGTATTGACATCATTGCAGATGAGTGGGTAGCACATTCTTAGGGAGAGGTGGGATCACGTGTGCTTTTCTGAGAAGTCACTCTGGGATGGAACACAGAGGAAGAAAAAAAAAAAACAGAGGAGAGTGAGGCAGGGCATGGGTGAGTATGAGTCTAGGGGAGCAGAGCTGTGGGAAGGGTGAGCATCAGGCAGATAGTTCCAAGGTAGGTCTAACAGGTGACTGGGTGGTGGGAAGTGAGGGGTGAACAATCAAACGTGGGTAAAGGGTCACAATGGTTTTATTCATTCACTCAGCAAACTTTTTTTTTTTTTGAGACAGTCTTGCTCTGTCGCCAAGGCTGGAGAGTAGTGGTGCCATCTCAGCTTGCTGTAACTCTACCTCCTGGGTTTAAGCGATTTTCCTGCCTCCTCAGCCTCCCAAGTAGCTGGGATTGTAGCTGACACCACCACGCCTAGCTAATTTTTGTAATTTTTAGTAGAGATGAGGTTTCACCATGTTGGCCAGGCTGGTCCTCAACACCTGACCTCAAGCGATCCGCCTGCCTCAGTTTCCCAAACTGTTGGGATTACAGGTGTGAGCCACGTGCACAGCACAGTCACCAAACCTGTATTGAGCACCTACTATGTACCAGGTCCTGAACAAAGTACTAAGAACACAGAGAAAAAGGATGGGATTGTTGGCCAAGAAGGGGCCTGGGAAACCTGGGAGAGGAGAAGGGAAGGGAGGACAGTGATGGGTTTGGCTGGGGATGTACTGAGTTGGCAGGGCAGGGGGCAGCTAGGGGGCAACAGCCAAGTGGCAGCAGCACGCATGGTCTGGGACTCAAGAAAGAGGTAGAATTTGAGATGCATGATGAAAATCAAATCTTGAGCACAACTTGGTAAACTTACCGAAAATCATTGACTTGTACCCTTAAAGTGAATGAATTGTATGATTTATAAATAATACCTGGATAAAGTTTTAAAAATACAATTAGAAGAAAAAACAAGAAGTCTCAAAGTTCCTAGGAAATCATGAAACAAGGAGGGAGAGAACGTTCCAGTCTGAGGGCGGAGGGCGCGAGTGAAACCTGGGGACCTGGCTGGAGTGGACATGGGGTGTGGCTGAAGCCAGGGCCGCTTGGCAGGAATGGATGGAGCTGCAGACTCGCTCCTGGGTGGGTTGTACCAGTCATGTCACTGAGCACTGGCGCTGCGCTCTGCATCCTGGAGCAAATCAATCCTCCAACAACCCCAGAAGAAGGGATGCCAGGTGGGGAAACAGGTTCAGAGAGGTTAAGCAGCTTACCAAGTCACATTGTTATTAAGAAGGTATATATATATATATATATTTTATGAGTTGGAGGCTCACTCTGTCGCCCAGGCTGGAGTGCAGTAGTGTGATCTTGGCTCACTGCAACCTCTGTCTCCCGGGTTCAAGCGATTCTCATGCCTCAGGTTCCTGAATAGCTGATATTACAGGCTCCTGCCCCCACCCCTGGCTAATTTTTGTATTTTTAGTAGAGACGGGTCCCGTCAAGTGGGCCAGGCTGGTCTCGAATTCCTGACCTTGTGATCCACTCGCCTCGGCCTCCCAAAGTGCTGGAATTAGAGGCATGAGCCGCTTAAGGGGTAGAATCTGAGATCCGTTAGCTCCAGAGTTTGGGCTCTTGAGTAACTCCGTTTCGCCACGTTTAACAAATGTCCCGGGCCTGGCGCTGAGACACTGGCACTTCTATGGCGCCATCTGCTGGCCAAAACGTGCAGTTTGGCAGGCGACTGAAAGGCATTGGTTCCCAGGCTTGACAGGATTCCCTTCTTTCTTTCCTCTTCTCAACTCTTGCTTCTCCCAACAGCCCTGAGTGGGTGGTAGGCAGGAATTGTCTAGCCTCATCTTACTAATGGGGAGACTTCTCAAAGATGACCTGGACAAGTAGAGGAGGCCGTGGGATTCCAACACCCCTCCATGTGGTGCTCTCCACCTCCCGCTCTCCTGTGTGGACTTAGATCCCGGAGCATGTGCACCCCCGGAGCGGGTGAGGCCATTCCCTCCCTGGCTGGCTTGCAGATGGCGGACAGGTTCAGGTAGCGGCCTGACCTACCCAGCTCTGTCTCTGGGGTGGGGTTTGACCTGACACAGGTTTGAGCCTGTGTCAAACCTGGGTGAGGGGTTAGGCCAAGGTTCTCAAGGCCGAGCAGAAAGCTCTCACCCAGCCCCTCCACTGGGGACTACAAACAGGTGACATTTCTGTTTGGGGAGCTGGCTCCCCCTTCCCTGTCCCCAGCCCTTCAGGAATTCTGGGTCTCAGACTCTGGAAGGAGGGAGAGGAGAAAAAGAGAGAGGAGACATAGGCAGAAGTTGGGGGACAGTAGGCCGGGAGAAGGAGGGGCATGGGGGTAGGGCCAGAGCAAGGCCACAGCAGATGACAGTGACAGCAACAGCACTAAGCAGATGCTGCAAAGGTGCTTTAGAGGAATTATGAGTCCTAACCACCTCTGTGGCCCTGAGAGGTGGGGAGGATTGTGACCCTCATTGGCAGTGGAGGCGCAGTGTTTGGGAGCTTGAGTAATGTGCCCAGGGTCACATGGCCAGTGAATATGAAGCCAGAGTCATAACCCAGTGACTCTGATGAGAAGCAGAGAGAAGGAGCAAAGGGTGGACAACAGGCTGGGAGTGGGGACCAAAGGGGTCCCGCTGCCAGACTGTCTCATGGCTGTCATCGTGGGCATGAGTGGGTATGTGTGCCAGGGAGGGACAGTGTCTGAGAGTCTTGGCTGTCAAATCTCGGTGACAGCCTGGTGGCATGGGTTGTCTGACTGTGGCTGAGCAATCTGGGTTGTTGAGGGGCCAGGTAGGCTTATTCTCTCCCCCAAGAAGTCTAGGTCAACTTTGAGTCATCCTTCACAGAACAGCTTAAAAGTCACCTTGTCTGGGAAGCCCTCCTGGTTGGCTACAATGGGTTTGAATTCCCATGTAACACACTTGGCATGCTTTTCCTGCCAAGTACTGATCATATGTGTAAGTGGTTAAAAATTTGTATTTACTTAGTAGAAGCCCTATGTTCTGATTGAGTTGGAGCTGGCAGTGGGCAGGTACCGGGACTTTAGATAAAACCAGACGTGCAGGGCCAGATTGCAGATGGAAGCCCTGGCCTTGAACATTCATGGTCTTCTGAGCGCCATGCTGTGGACTTTATTGAGAGAACCTAAACTGCTGGTGAATCCCCAAGGCGTTCATTGGAGTTTTATCAAGCCAGCTTTCATTATGTCTGCTTAATGTCCATCTCTCCAAGCTTCCCACCAGACTGCAAAGGCCCAGGTGACTGCCTTGGCCCTACTATGTCCCTAGAACTTAAAAGCCCCGTGAGTGGTTCTGGCATTTAACAAATACATATTAAAGGAAAGAATGAATCAAGGAAGCATAGGTTTGGGTACTCAGCTAGGGAAGCCAGGTTTGTGAGTGAGGAGATGAGGGGATGGGATCTAAGCAGGGCTGGAGTGGGCAGCAGTGGAGACCCACAAGGCCATGAGTGGTCACCTATGTGATGGCGCCTCCTGGAATTGTTCAGAGCGATGCACAGCCAGTGGTAGTGGGCTGACTTCCCTTAAACACTGTTTAGGGAAGTAGAGCCTGACAGTGGATTTTCAGGAACTGGCGAACCAGGAGGAGCCCTAGGATTCCCTTCCTTCTTGGTCTCCCCGGCACCAGCTCCTTGCTCAGCCTCCTCGCTTCTGCAGTTTCTTGCAGCTGACCCTGAAGAGGCTGTTAAGACCTGGCTGTCACCTCCATAGCTGCTCAGAGGCAGGTGAGTCTGGTTCTCTGATTCTCCCTCCTTGGAGGTGGGCACTGAAGTCAGGCCCAGGGGATGGGAAGGAAGGAGGCCAGGGCTGAAGAAAGCAGCCAGCATGTCCCACTTCCTCCCCAACTGCCACTCCAGGTGGTGACCCAGGTGACTGGGTCTCTCTTTGTCCTCCCTCCCAGACACCCCCTTGTCCTGGGTTCTCAGGAAAGGGAGGAGGCTAAGCAGCTCATCCCAGGCAGTTGGGCAAACCAACCCACCAGGTGCCTGGCCAGGTGCTGCCCCAGATACCTCCCTCCAGGCTGTCATCCTCTACATCACTGGGACAGTAGTAAGGGAAATAGAAAGCTCCCCAACGCCCTCCACCTCCACCCCAGGCCTGATCATGAGACATGGCTGGCTCAGAGACAGTGACAGTGGGGTCAGAGGGTATGAGACAGATTCACCATCTACCAGGAACAGGCAAGTGAGCACCACCCTCCTCATCGGGAATGAAGGGACAACAATAGTACCTATTTCATAGTAAAATGTCTTAGGTGTTCAATAAATGATAGATGCTACCATCAGTGATCACCAATGTTACAAAACTGTAAACAGAGAAGGGTGGCTTTATAAGAAGAAGAAAAGAGATCTCTCTCTTTCCACCATGTGAGGACCCAGCAAGAAGGTGGCTGTCTGCAAGCCAGGAAGAGAGCCCTCACCAGGAATCTGCTGGCACCTTAATCTTGGACTTCCCAGCCTCCACAACTGTGAGAAAGCAAGGTATGTTGCTTAAGCCACCCAGTTTGTAGTGTTTTGTTATGGCAGTCCTAGCTGACTAAAAACTACTATCTCCTAGAACCTATGAGTTTTGTTTCAAAGCACTTACCATAATCTATAGTTATCTATCTACCTGTGCAATTAAAAAATTTTTTTTATTATATTTTTGAGATGGAGTCTCACTCAAGTTGCCCAGGCTGGAGTGCAGTGGCATGATGTTGGCTCACTGTAGCCTTCACCTCCCAGGTTCAAGCAATTCTCCTGCAGCCCCCGAGTCGTTTAGGTAGGGAGCTAGTTATGTTCACTTCTGGACCTAGGGGCAGGTTATACAGATGGGTTCATTTTGTGAAGGTGTGTTGAGCTGTACACAGGATTTGTGTGTTTTTATGTTTGTTATACTTCAGGAAAAACTTAAAAAGATAAATTGCACAGGCTGGGCACGGTGGCTCATGCTTGTAATCCCAGCACTTTGGGAGGCCAAGTCCGGCAGACACTAAAGGTTAGGAGTTTGAGAGCAACTGGCCAACATGGTGAAACCCCATCTCTACTAAAAATGCAAAAATTAGCCAGGCGTGGTGGTGCACACCTATAATCCCGGCACTTTGAGAGGCTGAGGCAAGAAGACTGCTTGAGCCCAGGAGTTTGAGACCAACCTGGGGAACATGGTGAAACACCATCTCTCCAAAAAAAAATACAAAAAATAGCCAGCCTATAGTCCCAGCTACTTGGCGGGGGAGGTGGGGCGGTGTTGAGGCAGGAGGATCCCTTGAGTGTGGGAGCTGAAGGTTGCAATGCGCTGAGATCATGCCGCTGCACTCCAGCCTGGGTGATGGAGGACCTATTTCATGCCTTTCTCCTAACTTTTGGTGGCTGCTGCCAAAATCCTTGGCATTCTGTGCAGTGCCCCTGCCCTCCAATCTCTGCTTCTGTCTTCACAAGGCCTTTTCCTCTGTGTCTCTGTGCACTCTTCTGTCTCTTATGAAGACACTCTCGTTGGATCTCAGGCCCACCCTAATCCAGCATGATCTTATCTTGATCCTTACCTTAATTACATCAGCAAAGACCCTGTTTTCAAGTAAGATCATATTCTGAAGTTCTCCATGGACGTGCATTTTTGGGAGATACTCTTCCACCCGTGATGCCCTCTAAGATTGCCAGCCCCAGGAGGACAAGTGGCGTCACTCACCTTAGGATCCCTAGAATGACCCTAGCCTCAGAACCTAGCCTGGCATAGATGAGCTGCTCACAAAATGTTGGCTGAATAGATGAATTATCAGTACATCTTTACATCAGGAGCACCAATGCTGTGTGCCTGACACATGGTGGGTAATGAGTAGTTGATTGACAGGTGAATGACATTTGGACACCAATTGAGAATGACTGCAGAGTGTAGAAACAATGACAGGATGGCCAGGTGCAGTGGTTCATGCCTGTAATCCCAGCACTTTGGGGGGCCAAGGCAGGTAGATCACTTGAGGTCAGGAGTTCAAGACCAGCCTGGCCAACATGGTAAAACCCCATCTCTACTAAAAATATAAAAATTAGCTGGGCATGGTGGCGCGTGCTTGTAATCCCAGCTACTCGGGAGGCTGAGGCAGGAGAATCACTTGAACCCAGGAGGTGGAGGTTGCAGTGAGCTGAGATTGCGCCATTGTACTCCAGCCTGGGCAATAAGAGCAAAACTCTAAATAAATAAATAAATAAATAAATAAGATAGCCAGGTGTGGTGGCTCATGCATGTATTTCCAGCTCTTTGAGAGGCTGAGGCAGGTGGATTGCTTGAGGTCAGGAGTTCAAGACCAGCCTGGCCAACATGGTGAAACTCCATCTCTATTAAAAACACAAAAATTAGCCCAGCTTGGCCACGGGTGCTTGTTCCCAGCTACTCAGGAAACTGAGGCAAGAGACTCGCTTGAACCTGGGAGTTTGAGGTTGCAGTGAGCCGAGATTACACCACTGTACTCTAGCCTGGGTGACAGAGTGAGACTCTGCGTGAAAAAAAATAAAAAGAAGGCTGGGAGCAGTGACTCATGCCTGTAATCTCAGCACTTTTGGGAGGCTGAGACAGGTGGATCACCTGAGGTCAGGTGTTCGAGATCAGCCTGGGCAACATGGTGAAACCCTGTTTCTACTAAAAGTACAAAAAATTAGCAGACATGGTGACATGTGCCTGTAGTCCCACCTACTTGGGAGGCTGAGACACAGGAATCGCTTGCAGTGAGCCGAGATCCTGCCACCACACTGCAGCCTGGGCAACAGAGTGAGATGCCATCTCAAAAAAATAAAAATAAATAATGATAGGTGCTGCTCACTGAGCACTTATTTTGGGCCCCTTGCTTTCTTTGCATGGTTCTATTTAATCCCACTTTATAGAAAAGTAGGGGACCATGTGTCCCAGTTTGCATGAGACAGACCTGGTTGGCACCTATTGTCCCAGCATATGAGTGTTTTGTTCCCACTTTCCCCTCCTATTCTCAGAACTGTACTGAGCTGCTCACTAAAGTATGTGGTCACCCCGCAGATAAGGCAAGAGTCTTAAAAATTCCTAAAGGCAATAAATTCAGCAACTGATTTGCTCTCTTCTCAGAGACTCTAAAGCCCTTGCCCTTAACTGCTAGTGGTGCTGAGGGTGTTAATTAGGAGAGGGTTTTTTTGTTGTCCTTGTTTTGTTTTTGGCAGAAATAAGGCTGGTATCAAATAACCATCTCAAGAGAGAGAGGTCACAGGGAGGCTAGCTCCCTCCCTGCTCGAGTCCAGTGATCTGTGGAGGAGAGAGGTCCACAGATCCCCATCCACGCAGACTGGGTCCAAAATTTGCAGGGCCCAGTGCAAAATGAAAATTCAGGGCCTTTTGTTAAAAAGTTGTTAATAGCTCAAGACAGCAACAACAGAGCATCAGACAAACGCTGGGCCTTTAGTGTGTGGGACCATGCAGGTCATAGGCCTGTGAAACTGTTACCCAGGCTGGGAATCTGGCAGTCATCCTTGACCTCTCGCCCTCCCTAAGCCCTCCTTTCACATGGAGTCCTGCAGATGCAAGCTTATTAAGCAGCTCCCCCTACTCCCTCCCAAATGCCATTCCTCTGGTCCAGGGGCACTTCGCACCGCTGGACTACAGCAACCATTCAGACAGCTTCCAGTCCTGCCTGCTCTGGCCCATCCTCCTCTTTGCAGCCAGAAAGATCTCCCCGAAGGCCAATCCGACCCTAGTGCCTCCCTGCTTAGAACCTTCCATGGCTCCTGCTATGGACTGAATTCTTCCCTCCCCAGAATCACATGTTGCAGCTTTAAGTCCCATTGCAACTGTATTTGGAAAAGGTGCCTTTAGGAAATAATTAAGGTTAAATGAGGTCATAAGAGTGGGACCCTGATCCCATGGAATTCGTGTCCTTATAAGAGGAGAGAGACACTGTAAAGCTCATTCTCCTCTTCCCCTCGTGCACACACACACAAAGAAAAGGCCATGTGAGGACGCAGTGAGAAGGCAGCTGTCTACAGGCCAAGAAGAAAGCCCTCACCAGAGACTGAATCTGCTGGCACCTTGATCTTGGACTTCTGGCCTCCAGATCTGTGAGACATCAATGTCTGTTCTTTAGCTACTAAACCTGTGGTATTTTGTCACAGCATCCCGAGCAGACAAAGGCACCTCCCTGCTGTCTGAGATCTGGGCATGATCTCTGTGGCTGCCACCTCTCCAGCCCTTGCCAGACCTTCTTTCCTGTCTCTGGGTCTTCCAACATATTCTTCCTCTCCCCCTTTCTTACCTCTTTATCTGGCCAACTCCTGCTCGGCTCTCAGTCCCCAGCTTAGAAATTAAGCTTCCCTGACCTCCCCATCATGCACAGTCCACGGAGGGCTCCTCCCTACCCCCACAGCTACTCCATGCTCCCTCCCTTATAGGGAATTCTTGTCACTTGTGTCACTACATGTTTGGGGCCTCTCTTGCCCAGTAGTTCAGGAGCTCCCTGAGAACAGGGATTTTTATTCTGCTCAACCCCTGGTCCTGAGCATCTACAGGTCTGGGGGCGTCTCATCCCTGGTATCCTTACCTTTGAGAAGGATGCCAGGGTCAGACTGTGAGATCCAAAGCCCTGGTCAGACTGTGAGATCCAAAGACCCTCTGGGAAGCTAGGGGCTGAGGAACAGAGTTGGAAGCCAGACTGTGGGTAGAAGAGCAGGGCTGAGGGTGCAGGAAGAGAGTTCAACAGCCTCTGTGAGTTTACTTTTCATCCACTTCCTCTGCAGGGAGAACTTGCAACTGGTCCTGCTTGGAATGTGTCATTCATTTATTTAGTCAACAAACATTCACTGTGCTTCCAGTTAGGGCCAGGCCCCAGGCCAGGTACTAGGATGCTGCAGGGGAGGTTTCTGGGTCCCCACCAGGAGACACGTGACACAAGCCATAACTTTGTGTTAAATGAGGGACTTCCCCCAGAGTAGTGGGAAAGAGAACTTGGAGGTCAGATAAGCCTAGTGCAACTCCAGGCTCTGCTCCTCATTAGCTGGTAACATGGGACAGTCCACTCATGTGCCCTACTTTTTAAATCCTGAAAATGGCTCTGACAGCGGAACCTCTGGAGGCCTGGGGTGGGATGAGGTCCTGGAACATGACCCCAGTTCCAGGGCTCTGCTTCCTCCTATTCAGCCTGATAGGCCTCATACACGTCTTCCTCACAGTCACCTACTCCCCACACCATGGCCATGGTCAGGGTCATGTCCATGTGTGGGGAGTACCTGACCATGAAGAAGGCATAGCAACGACCTTCAGTAGCAACCTGCAGCCAACACCCCCAGTGAGACCTTTTCTGAGACTCGGGCAAAGAACCCCAATATGACACGTTCCCCCCAAACCAAGGTAACACGTTCTGCAGAAGCCACCTTAGCCTCTCTCTTCCAGGTTCTACTCTGACTGGGGATCTTAAGCTGCCTGACCTGGAGAGAAAGCCCAGTGGATGAAAGCTGTTATCAAGGAGGAGGAAATTCCTGTTTAGGTGGTCCCATTCAGGCAGACATCACTTGGGCAACAAATACCAGTTACCATTCAGCTAAGTGCTTTCCTTGTGTTAGGTCATTGAATGCTTAAGATATCTTCATCTCATTTAATCATTGCAAAAAGCCCTGAAGTGAGTACTATTTCACCCTGTTTTATAGATGGGAGACTGAGGTTCAGAGAGGTGAAGTCACTTGCCTAAGGTCACACAGCTTATAAGTGCTGCAGCTGGGATTTGAACCCAAGGTCCAACCACTTAACTACTATTCTAATTGCCTCCTCTAAGCCTCAGTTTCCTTATCTGTAAAAGGGGAAAATAGTGTCTCTAACCTACTTCAAAGGTTGTTGACTATTAAATTACAAAGTTAAGGTCTGGTGAAAGGTGAGAAGCTCTCTGGACTCAGACAGACTTGGCTTTAATCCCAGCTCTATAACTTACTAAGTGGGTGATCTTAATTACATTACTTCCCCTCCCAGAGTGAATCTCTTCATTGTTAGAATGGGGAAATGTGGTCATACTTATCTGGAAGGGTTGTCAGAAGGAGTAAAGGTGGGCATCTGTTGGCATGTGAAGCGGGATTTGGACTGTGGAGGGGAGGGTGCTCGACAGAGGAAGGAGCCTGAGCCTGGAGGTGTTGTGTTATTCGGAACATCGCATTGAATAAGATCCAGCTTGACTCAAACTTCATTTGCTGATGGCTTGACCCCCAGAGGATACCCCCAACCCCTCCGCCTCCCCAGTCTGGTGAAGATGTTAACCCAGCTTGTCTCAATCCATCAATAAATATGGCTGGGAGTGGGATAGTGGGAAAGACCTCAGAAAATGAAGAGCATGTATTGAAATCCCAGTCCCCTCACTTACCAGCAGTGTGACTTTGCATGAGTCATTTCACTTCTCTGAGTCTCAGTTTCCCCCTCTGAAAAAATGGGGATAACATACACAAACTGCAGGGCATTGTGGAGTGGGTTGAATGGGCTTAGGTGGCAACCTTCTCCCTGAGGATCCCAGCCCTCCCATATTGCAGGTGCCTGTGTACAGCTGGTGCTCAGAGAATAGAGCCCCCTTCCTCTTCTGTGCCTTCTGTGGCATCCTCATCACCTTGACTGCCATGATTTCGGCTGGAAGCAAGCCCTGGACATAGGGCTTCTGCTCTCTTCCCTGCTGTGCCTCATGGTGTCCATAGCCACTGTGCTGGGCCCTGGCAACCTTGTCCTGCTACTGGTCCTGCAGATAGGTGCCCACTTGGATTGCAGCCCCAGGACCTGTGCTCAACTAGAAAGGCAAGAGCTAACATTCTGGCTCCCACCTCTAATCTTACGAGGAAACAGGAGCAACCCTCATTTTTTGTTTTAGTTTTAAAAACTGGCATTAGCTGGGCACGGTGGCTTATGTCTATAATCCAAGCCCTTTGGGAGGCTGAGGCAGGCAGATCACGTGAGGTCAGGAGTTTGAGACTAGTCTGGCCAGCATAGTGAAACCCTGTCTCTACTAAAACTACAAAAATTAGCTGGGCATGGTGGCAGGCGCCTGTAATCCTAGCTTCTTGGGAGGCTGAGGCAGGAGAATCGCTTCAACCTGGGAGGTGGAAGTTGCACTGAGCTGAGATCATGCCATTGCACTCCAGCCTGGACAAGAGCAAGACTCCATCTCAAAAACAAAACAAAACAAACAAAAACTGACATTGAAGATGTGCACTATGGCTGTATTGGTTGATAAACAATGCAAATATTTCTGCTCCAGTTGTTAAATAGCAGCAGCTCCAAACCCTGTGAGTACCCCCAGCACCCTGTCAGTCTCAACCCACCCCAGAGACACTTCCACTGTTGTAAATAACTCAAGAAATAACACTCTATAATTATATTTCCTTTTGATAAGTATCTCATGTTGATTGCTGAGTCAGAAGGATGCACATTTTAAGACTTTAGATTCGTATTTCCAAAATAGCCTTCAGAAAAAGTATGCCATTTGAAACTCCCACCAGCGAAGTAGGAGACTATGAGATGCCCATTTTCCTTCATCTTCATCAACAACGGTTTTTATAATTTTTCTATTGCTTGAAAACCTGGAAGAAAACCTGGAAGATAAAAAGATATGATATACTGTTTTTTTGTTTTTGTTTTTGTTTTTTTTGAGACGGAGTTTCGCTCTTGTTACCCAGGCTGGAGTGCAATGGTGCAATCTCGGCTCACTGCAACCTCCGCCTCCTGGGTGCAGGCAATTCTCCTGCCTCAGCCTCCTGAGTAACTGGGATTACAGGCACGCACCACCGTGCCCAGATAATTTTTTGTATTTTTAGTAGAGACGGGGTTTCACCATGTTGACCAGGATGGTCTCGATCTCTTGACTTCATGATCCACCCACCTCGGCCTCCCAAAGTGCTGGGGTTACAGGCTTGAGCCACCGCACCCGGCCCCAATATACTGTTTTAATTTGCCTTTTTTTTTTTTTTGAGAGAGAGTCTTGCTCTTGCTCTGTCGCCCAGGCTGGAGTGCAGTGGCTTGATTACAGCTCGCTACATGCCCAAGCAATTCTCCTGAGTAGCTAGGACTACAGGCATGTGCCACCATGCTCCACTAATTTTTATTTATGTATTTATTTTTTGAGATAGAGTCTTGCTTTGTCTCCCAGGCTGGAATGCAATGATTCGATCCTGGCTCACTGCAGCTCCATCTCCTGGGTTCAATCTATTCTCCTGCCTCAGCTTCCCAAGTAGCTGGGATTACAGGTGTGCGCCACCACACCTGGCTAATTTTTGTATTTTTAGTAGAGACAGGGTTTCACCATGTTGGCCAGGCTGGTCTCAAACTCCTGACCTCAGGTGATCCTCCCACCTCGGCCTCCCAAAGTGCTGGGATTAGAGGCATGAGCTACCCCAGTCAGTGGCCTCTTTTTATTGATTTGAGTTTTTTGTTTGTTTGTTTTGAGATAGTCTCACTCTGTCATCCAGGCTGGAGTGCAGTGGCACGATTTCAGCTCACTGCAACCTCCGTCTGCCGTGCCTCAGTTTCCCAAGTAGCTGGGATTACAGGCGCCCACCACCAACACCTGACTCATTTTTTTTGTATTTTTTTTTTAATAGAGACAGGGTTTCACCGTGTTGGCCAGAAGCAATTTTGGTATTGCCTCTTCCCTTTCTCCATGGAGCTAGGAGGGGAATGATTTGTACTCTCAATCCAGAAAGACTTCTTAATAGGAGAAATCTGGAGAAGATGGAAAATAAGAGATAATGAAAGATTCCAAGTACTTTTTACTTTGGATGATTTTCTTCTTGAACCTACCCTTCCCGCTTCAAACCATGGAAAGATCACTGTGCTCTTCTGTAGCCAGAATGACTGGGTCGCGCCCTCATGGCAGGGTGGGGTCTTTCTGGCTTGCTGCACTCTCTGAGCCAAGTGGGTCTCCACCCAAGAAATCTCCTTGCTCGGGAGCTGTGCTGATGTTAGAAAGACCCAGCTGACTGTCCTCTTGCCAAGCCCTGGCTCAAGTTGTCTCTGATGCTGACCAGCTGTGTGTCCTTGCCCTATCCTTTAACCTCTCTGTGCCTCAATTCCCTTGTCTCTGAAATGGAGAAAACTGCCCACCTTTCAAGGGTTGTTGGGAAGATTAGAAAAGGCCATGCGTCTAAGGCTTTGGACACAATGTCTGGCATGGTGTAGGTGCTCCAGAAACACTTGTCAAATCAGTAGCGGATGGCTGTTTTCCTTTCCACTTGTTCTTGCTACTTTTGTGTGCATGATGTGTGCATGTGTGTGTGTGTGTGTCCTTTCTTAACCTTTTTCCAACTGCAAATTTACTCAACTTTTCAGAAAAGTGATAAAGCAAACCCCTTCACTTTAACCTATGCGAGTTAGGAAGCTTTGGTGACAAGAAGCAGAAATAAGCTGGAACAAGTAGAAAAAACAGAAAGTGGGGAGAATGTATTAAAAAACACAAAGCTGGCACAGATTCCAAGAGCCTGAAGCGGGGATTCTTCTCTCTACTAATCCCTGGAGGTGGACTGTGTTTTTCTCTGTCCTCCTCTCTCTCTCCCGCTCCTGTCTTCTCTCCAGACTGGCTTTCTCTTCCACTCAGTCATGCACAGCCTCATGACTGTGGCCACTCACTTCTCCCAGGGACAGTCTCAACTACCTGCAGAGACTCACTAACTGATCCTAAGTCCCTAAACCAGGTTTCGGTTAGGGAGATTCTGATTGGCTCACACTGGGCCAGGTCCAATCAGATGTTGTCCCTTGAGAAACACACAGTGCGTCACAGCCTGAGGGCAAGTGAGTTCATCAGATCTTCTCTCGGTAGGCAGGAAAAGACTGGGCCAGCTGAGAGGCTCCGGAGGGACTGGGGTGGAGGTAACTGGAAACTGAATTCAGAGCTCATGGAATTCTCCCCAGAAGGTCAGAGCTTGAAGGAGACTCACATATTGCCTGGTCCCACCTCTGCCCACAGAGAGGAATGAGGCGCAGAGGTATGTGGTTTGTCCAAGACTGCCCGGCCAGTCAGTGATGGGGCTGGAAAGAAACTCAGGTTTCCTAGCACCATGGCTCAGGCTCACATTGTCAGACAGTCAGACGATTTCTCCAAGAGCACACTGTTCAATAGAACCTTCTATTTTTGCCGGTTGCAGTGACTCATGCCTATAATCCCAACTATAAGGAAGACAGAGGTGGAAGGATAACTTGAGCCCACAAGTTTGAGACTCACCTGGGCAACATAGCAAGACCCCATTCTCCACAAAAAGGGGGAAAAAAGACCAAAAAAAACCTTTCTATTTTTGTGATGAGAAAAATGTTTTATATCCATACTGTGGCTCTTAGCACTTGAAATTTAGCTATTGTGGCTGAAGAATCAATATTTTTTATTTTATCTTATTTTATTTTATTGAGACAGGGTCTTGTTCTGCTGCTCAGGCTAGAGTGCAGTGGCACCATCATGGCTCTCTGCAGCCCCAACCTGCTGGCCTCAAGCCATCCTCCCACTTCAGCCTCTTGAATGGCTGGGATTACTCAAGAAGCGTAGGCACGTACTATGACACTGGGTTGATTTCTTAATTTTGTAGAGACGAGATCTCCCTATGTTGCCCAGGCTGGTCTTAAACTCCTGGTCTCAAGCAGTGCTCCCACCTGGACCTCCCAAAGTGCTGGGATTATAGGTGAGAGCCACCACACCCTACTTATTTTATTTTAATTAATTTTAAATTAAGTAGCCACATGTGGTTACCATATTGGACAGGGCAGTCCTAGAGCTTGAAACTTCTGATTCTTTGTGAAAAGTGGACACCAAATCCCCACCAGATAAAGAATCAAAAGACAGAACAGGTAGTTAATGCGAGAAGCCATATATAGAAAATTATTGCTCTGTGAAAGCATTTAGTTTTGATGGTATTTGTGGAAATGTGTCTCAAAAAAAAAAAAAAAAAAGATTCACCTCATTTGTTTCCTCTCTCAGGAATCACCGTCCTGCACTGACGAGGTCCAGTATCGGAAAACCATTGTTTCATAGATTTCTGACCAGTTTTTTGTTGTGTGGTTTCTGTTGGGAGAACATATCTGGTCTCCGTTATCTCATCTTGGCCAGAAGCAGAAGTGTTCTGTATCTTTAATGCACTATTTTAAAGTATTTAAAAAGATTATCTTAGTTTGTTCAGGCCGTTGAAACAAAATACCATAAATTGGGTGGCGTATAAACAACAGACAGTTGTTTTTCTTACAGTTCTGGAGGCTGGGAAGCCCAACAGCAAAGTGCTTGCAGGTCTGGTGTCTGGTGAGGCCCCTCTTCCCTATTCATAGAGGGTGCCTTCTTGCTGTGTCCTGATGTGCAAGGGGCTGGACCTCTTTGAGGTCTCTTTGATAAAGGTACTAATCCATATCATGAGGGCTCCACTTTCATGACCTAATCACCTCCCAGCCACCCCACCTCCTAATACTGTCACCTTTGGGATAAGGATTATAATATGTGAATTTGGAAGGACACAAATGTTCATTGTAAACTAAGGATCAACTAAAGAGAAGGGTTCTAGGACTGTGCAGTCTTCAAAATCTCCCCGAAGCATAATCAGAGAAAGACTTGGAAAACCATGTAGTTCAATAAAAGGAGAGGTCTTTGTCTTAGGAGTCAGAGACCCAAGTTTCTCCTATTCAGTTTGGCATATGGGCTGATTTTCAGGCATGTTCAGGCTGGTCCTTGGTGCCATACCTAACTCATCTGTCTACAATCGCTGCATCTTTTCTCTCCTTCCATCCAGTCATCAGGTATTCCTGCTCCCATCATCCTCCACAGGTACCTGAAAAGTCCACATGCACACCAACCCTTTCTCTAAGCTGCCGGAGGTAGGATGTTGGAAACATGGCATCCCACCCTGGAGAGGAGAATCTTTGGAATAAACAGTGGTGAAGAGGTCTTGCCTAGGTATTTCCCCTGCCCAAATTTTAAGCTGTTTATTTTGAAATAACTACACACTCAAAGGCAAGTGTAGGAACAGAACATAGGGATTCACATACCAGTCACCCAGCTTCCCCAGTGGTGAAATTCTGGTTAATTTTTTTATCTTTTTTGAGACAGAGTCTCACTCTGTTGCCTGGGCTGGGGTGCAGTGGCATGATCTTGGCTTACTGCAACCTTTGCCTCCCAGGTTCAAGTGATTCTCCCACCTCAGCCTCCAAGTAGCTGGGACACCCACAACACCCAGCTAATTTTTTTCTTTTTTCTTTTCTTTTTTTTTTTTTTGAGATGGAGGTTTACTCTGTCACCCAGGCCGGAGTGCAGTGATCTCAGCTCACTGCAACCTCTGCCTCCTGGGTCCAAGTCATTCGCCTGCCTCAGTCTTCCGAGTAGCTGGGACTAAGGTGGCTGCCACCACGCCTGGCTAATTTTTTGTATTTTCAGTAGAGACGGGGTTTCACCATGTTAGCCAGGATGGTCTCGATCTCCTGACCTCGTGATTCACCCTACTCCGCCTCCCAAAGTGCTGGGATTACAGGCTTGAGCCACCACACCTGGTCCTCTGTGCAGGTTTTTGTGTGAATTTAAACTTTATCTGTGATAAATGCACAAGAATACAACTGCTGGGTTATATATGATAAGTGCATGTTTAGTCTTATAAGAAATTGCAGGCCAGGCACAGTGGCTCATGCCTGTAATCCCAGCACTTTCGGAGGCTGAGGCGAGCGGATCACCTGAGGTCAGGAGCTCAAGACCAGCCTGGCCAACATAGTGAAACCATATCCCTACTAAAAATACAAAAATTAGCCAGGCATGATGGTGTACCCCTGTAATCCCAGCTGTTTGGGAGGCTGAGACAGGAGAATCTCTTGAATCTGGGAGGTGGAGGTTGCAGTGAATTGAGATTGCACCACTGTACTCCAGCCTGGGCGACAGAGAGACTCATCTCAAAAAAAAAAAAGAGAAATTGCCAAACTATTTTCCAAAATGTCTATAACCTGTTACATTTCCATATATATATATGTATATATATATATATATATACATATATATATAACTTTTATAATCATAGGAAAAATAAGATTTTCTTTAAAGAAGAAAAAACCGAGGTGTACTGGCTTACACCCGTCACCTTATCACTTTGGGAGGCCGAGGTAGGAGAATCATTTGAGCCTGAGAGGTATAGGCTACAGTGAGCTGTGACTGCACCACTACACTCCAGCCTGGGCAACAGAGCAAGAACCTGCCTCAAAGAAAAAGAAAAAAATAATCTGATGAAAATATACTAACGTAACTGTGATTAGTCTGTGGTTGTTGTAGGATCATGAATAATTTGGTTTTCTTCTTTCTGTAACCTTTATATTAAGCATATATTTCTTAAAAAATTTTTAAGCCTATTGATTTGCAGTAGCTTCAAAAAGAAAAAAGAAAAAAAGAAAAAAAATTGTAAGCCCAATTATTAATGTCAAGGGAAAAAAGACCTACAAAGAGCTGATACAAGGTCAAGCTCAATGAAGGAGTGAGCTCAGCCCCCTATCCAATACTGCCTTACCTCATTCTCAGCTGCAAGGATGATGGAAAGATGCTTTAGTCTGGTTCTAGACAACACTTGCCAATTCTGGCCCTGTGCAGTGGCTCACCCTGTGGTCCCAGGACTTTGAGAGGCTGAAGTGGGAGGACTGCTTGAGCTCAGGAGTTCGAGACCAGCCTGGGCAACATGGTTAAACCCTGTCTCTAAAATACAAAACAGAAAAACTTGCCAGTTCCATGAACATGCATTGAAAGAACCAGCATTGAAATATGCACCAAGCTCTTTGCTAGGCCCTGAAGGATGGAAGGGTAACTGAGACACGGTCCTTGCCCTGTAAGACCCCCAATCTAATAAAGTGTCCAGTACTAGCTTTTCTGTTGGTTTGTTTGTTGTGTGTTTGTTTTTAGAAACAGGATCTTCCTCTGTTGCCCAAGCTGCAGTGGTGTGACCACAGCTTACTATAGCCTTGACCTCCTGGCCTCAAGTGATCCTCCTGCCTCAGCCTCCCAAGTAGCTGGGACTACAACTGTGAGTTATTGCCCTGGGTCCCAGTATTGGCTTTTTTTGTTTGTTTGTTTGTTTGTTTGTAGAAAATGATTTATTTAGAGAGAGAGAGAGAAACAGGAGAAGGAGAGAGAAAGAAACAGCTAACTCTCACACTGAGTGAGAGAATCCAGAAAGATGGAATCCAGGAGAGGAAAGCAGCTTCCACTCTGAGTGGAAGGGAATGGAGAGAGATGGAGTTTAGGAGGGGAAGACAGACTTCCACAAGACAGTATGGAAGGGGATTCCAGAAGAGAAATCCAGGAGAGAGAAAGATGGCTTCCACGAAGGGAGTGTTCATGGAAGGGGACCCAAACATGGAGTCCCCAGTATTGGCTTTCCTTAGAGCTAGAAGCAGTTTTAGCTGGGAGCTAAAATCTTAGACCAAATCAAAGTATCTGAAAGTAGGCTGGGCACAGTGGCTCAAACCTGTGATCCTAGCACTTTGGGAGGCTGAGGTGGGCAGATCACTTGAGGTCAGGAGTTTGAAACCAGCCTGGCCAACATGGTGAAACCCCATCTCTACTAAATATACAAAATAAAAAATTAGCCAGGCACGGTGGCATGCACCTGTAACCCCAGCTACTTGAGAGGCTGAGGCAGGAGAATTGCTTGAACCTGGGAGGTGAAGGTTGCAGTGAGCCTAGAGTGCGCCACTGCACTCCAAACTGGGTGACAAGAGCAAGACTCCGTCTATTAAAAAAAAAAAGTGTCTGAAAGTAGAATTTAAAGAATCAGCAAGCCAGTGAAAAAGCCTTTTGGAAGGAGGAAAGAAAGGAAAGAAGAGGAGGAGTTGGTGATATTATGAGAAGACTCTAAAGCAGCAGGTTGCCAATGGTGGATTTCTGGCACTGTGACTGGTGCACAGAAAGACTTGCCAGATAATTAGGTCACTACCAACTTCACCCTGGCCAAAAGCTCAGCCCTGTATTTAAAAAAAAAACCAGATACCAGAAAAATCTCTTGAGAAGCAAAATGAAATTTCTGATACAATAGGGAATTAGGTCAGCAAAGAATCAGCATCTTCAAAAACCACATATTAGACACATTTACATATTTCCACAGGTCAGTGTCATAATAAATATAGACCTTCCTACAGTACTTTACAGTTTATAAAGCCACTTCACTGCTCATCTGATCTTCACAATAATTTTGTAAGGGTAGCTATCACCATCCTTCTCTTAGTGATGAGATAATGAGACTCAGAGAGGTGAAGTAACTTGCCCAAGGTCACACAGCCAGGAAGTGGTAAAGCTAAGACTTGGTGCCTGGTCTTTGGATGCTAAAGCCAGTTTCCTCCCAACATTCCACAGATCTCAGAACCATGGCCTGAAAGGCCAGCGATGGTTGTCATAAGGGGCTCACTCTACCTTTTATGAACTTGTGGGAGTGATAGCCAAATTCCTTCAATACACCGAGATGCAAAATAATTTGTGAAAAAGCTTACAGGAAGGTGAAATAGGCTACATTAGCCAACCATCCGCTCACTTATTTCTCTACCACCACGTTAACCTAAGGGGAAAGACCAGAATTGGTGTCAATGTGATCAGAAAAGCGTTGTAATAGCAGGCACTCACGGCCCCTCCAATGCCCTTGGTTAAGAACTTTGTTCTCTGCAGTTTGTGGCGAGAGCGCCCCCATGTGTTTCCACTTTGTCATAAGGCTTTTCTTTCGTTTTCGATAGAGTCTTGTTCTGTTGTTCAGGCTGGAGTGCAGTGGCACCATCTCGGCTCACTGCAATCTGCGCCTCCTGGGTTCAAGCAATTCACTTGCCTCAGCCTCCCGAGTAGCTGGGACTCCAGGCGTGCGCCACCACGCCCAACTAATTTTTTTTGTTTGTATTTTTTTTTAGTAGAGACGGGGTTTCACCATGTTGTCCAGGATGGCCTCGATTTCCTGACCTTGTGATCTGCCCGCCTTGGCCTCCCAAAGTGCTGGGATTACAGGCGTGAGCCACCGCGTTCAGCGAAAACTACTTTATAAGAGTTCCTGAGGGGCGGGGCGGAGCCGGCAAGATGGCTGCGCCCGGTAAGACGACGTTTCCGGAGAAACTAAGCCACAAAAAGTACAGGGCCGCCCTGAAGAAGGAGAAACGACAGAAACGCCGGCAGGAACTTGCTCGACTGAGAGACTCAGGAATCTCACAGAAGGAGGAGAAGGAGGACACTTTTATTGAAGAACAACAACTAGAAGAAGAAAAGCTATTGGAAAGAGAGAGGCAGAGACTACATGAGGAGTGGTTGCTGAGAGAGCAGAAGGCACAAGAAGAATTCAGAATAAAGAAGGAAAAGACAGAGGCGGCTAGAAAACGGCAAGAAGAACAAGAGAGAAAGTTAAAGGAACAGTGGGAAGAACAACAGAGGAAAGAGAGAGAGGAGGAGCAGAAACGACAGGAGAACAAAGAAAAAGAGGAAGCTGTGAAGAAGATGCTGGATCAGGCTGAAAATGAGTTGGAAAATGGTACCACATGGCAAAACCCAGAACCACCCGTGGATTTCAAAGTGGAGAAGGATCGAGCTAATTGTCCCTTCTACAGTAAAACAGGAGCTTGCAGATTCGGAGATAGATGTTCACGGAAACATAATTTCCCAACATCCAGTCCTACCCTTCTTATTAAGAGCATGTTCACAACGTTTGGAATGGAGCAGTGCAGGAGGGATGACTATGACCCTGACGCCAGCCTGGAGGACAGCGAGGAAGAAACCTACCAACAGTTCCTAGATTTCTATGAGGATGTGCTGCCCGAGTTCAAGAACGTGGGGAAAGTGATTCAGTTCAAGGTCAGCCGCAATTTGGAACCTCACCTGAGGGGCAACGTGTACGTTCAGTACCAGTCGGAAGAAGAATGCCAAGCAGCCCTTTCTCTGTTTAACGGACGATGGTATGCCGGACGACAGCTTCAGTGCGAATTCTGCCCGGTGACCCGGTGGAAAATGGCGATTTGTGGTTTATTTGAAATACAACAATGTCCAAGAGGAAAACACTGCAACTTTCTTCATGTGTTCAGAAATCCCAACAATGAATTCTGGGAAGCGAATAGAGACATCTACTTGTCTCCAGCTCTGACTGGCTCCTCCCTGAGCAAGAACTCTGAGAGGTGGGTGAGGATGGGCCACCACGACGAATACTACAGCAGGCTTCGGGGAAGGAGAAACCCAAGCCCAGACCACTCCTACAGAAAAAGTGGGGGATCCGAGAGGAAGAGGAGTAGTCACAGGGGGAAGAAACCTCACAAACGCACATCAAAGAGTCGGGAGAGGCACAGGCCACGCAGCAGAGGAAGAAACAGGGACCACAGCCGGGGCGGAGCAGCCAAAGCCAGAGCCACAGAAGCCGCCGCAGCCGGAGCCAAAGTTCCTCTAGGTCCCGAAGTCGTGGGAGGAGGAGGTCAGGTAATAGAGACAGAACTGTTTAGAGTCCCAAATCCAAATAAACCTGTTTTGTTCTTAAAAAAAAAAAAGTTCCCATAGTAGCAAAAGTCAGAACGCCTATATTCTCCTCCTGTCTCTGAATGGCCTGATTAGTTTGGAACTAATCACTTGAAGCCAGCTGGTCTCTGATCTTTTTTGTGCTCCACTATGCCTCAGGGCTTAGCACAGCACTCTAATTAAGGCTGGAATAAACAAATGTGCAGGATCTCCCAGCTGGCGAGACTGATATGGTAACCTGTATATTCTATTGACTCTTAGTAGCCTCTCCTTTTTTTCTTTTCTTTTCTTTCTTTTTTTTTTTTTTGAGACAGTCTCATTCTGTTGCCAGGTTGGAGTGCAGTGGCACGATCTCAGCTCATTGAAACCTCTGCCTCCCGGGTTCAAGCAAGGCTCCTGCCTCAGCCTCCAGAGTAGCTAGGACTACAAGCATATGCCACCAGGCCCAGCTAATTTTGTATTTTTAGTAGAGATGGGGTTTCACCATGATAGCCAGGATGGACTTCATCTTTTGACCTTGTGATCCGCCCACCTCTGCCTCCCAAATTGCTGGGATTACAGGTGTGAGCCACTGCACCCAACCTAGTACCCTGATTTTTTTTTTTTTTATTTGAGACGGAGTCTCGCTCGTGTTTCCCAGGCCGGAGTGCAGTGGCGCGATCTCGGCCCACCGCAACCTCCGCCTCCTGGTTTAGGCAATTCTCCAGCCTCAGCCTCCTGAGTAGTTGAGATTACAGGCATGCGCCACCATGCCCAGCTAATTTTTTGTATTTTCAGTAGAGACGGGGTTTCACCTTGTTGACCAGGATGGTCTCGATCTCTTGACCTCGTGATCCACCCGCCTCGGCCTCCCAAAGTGCTGGGAGTAGCCTGATTTTTACCAGTGCTGAAAGAGGGGCAAAGTTCCCAGGTGTAACCATCAGTCGTAGCTACCACTTACCATAGGGTAGCGTTCAAGGGCTTGAACCTTAGAGTCCAACACCCTAGGTTCAGCTCTTGGTTCTGCTGTTTCTTAGCTGTGTGATATTGAGTTGGTTCATTTCTCTTATTTCATTTGCAAAACAGAGGTAATAAAAATTCATTAATAAGTCACCACAGTGTTTACAGAAAGAAAAAATAAAAAATACCACTGGGCACAGTGGCCCACGTTTGTAATCTCAGCCCTGTAGGAGGCCGAGGTGGGTAGATTGCTTGAGGTCAGAAATTCAAGACCAGCCTGGGCAACTTGGTGAGACCCAGGCTCTACACACACACACACACACACACACACACACAAATTAGCTTGGCATGGTGGTGTATGTGCCTGTAATCCCAGCTACTCGAGAGGCCGGGGTGAGAGGATTGCTTGAGCCCAGGAGGTCAAAGCTACAGTGAGCCCTGATAGTGCCACCACTGTACTCCAGCCTAGGAGTGCACTCTGTCATACTTCTGGGTAACAGAGTGAGACCCTGTCTCAAAAACTAAAAATGAAAAAATCTTAAAAATTAGCCTGGGCATGGTGGCACACTCCTGTAATCCCAGCTACTCAGGAGGCTAAGGTAGGAGAATCACATGAACCTGGGAACCAGAGGTTGCAGTGAGCTGAGATGGCGCCACTGCACTCCAGCCTGGGCAACAGAGTGAGACTCCATCTCAAAAGTAAAATAACAATAATAATTAAAAAATAAAACTTCATTGAGTTGTGAGCATTAAATGAGATAATCTGAGTTAAGTGCTTAAAATAGCACCAGGTACACGGTGAGCATTACGTAAGTGTTTGCAGCTATTGCTAATTTAAAGTCCTGCTGACCATGTGGTAGGCCCATGTGCCAGGCTAGGCACTTTATGAATGGCTCTGGGTCACTTTGACTCTAAAACTTCCTCTTAAAGAAAAATCAGGCTGGGCACAGTGACTCACGCCTGTAATCCCAGCACTTTGGGAGACCGAGGTGAGTGGATTGTTTGAGGTCAGGAGTTCAGACCAGCCTGGCCAACGTGCTGAAACCCCGTCTCTACTAAAAATACAAAATTAGCCAGGCATGGTGGTGCATGCCTGTAATCCCAGCTACTTAGGAGGCTGTGGCAAGAGAATCACTTGAACCCAGGAGGTGGAGGTTGCAGTGATCTGAGGTCATGCCATTGCACTCCAGCCTGGGCAGCAAGAGCAAAACTCCGTCTCAAAAAAACAAAAACAGAAAACAAAGAAGTTGCCCAAATCCTTTATTGATAGATTGATTGAGAAGGGGGTCAAGTATGGTCTGGCTCTGTCACCCAAGCTGGAGTACAATGGTTAGATCATAGCTCATTGCAGCTTCAAACTCCTGGGCTCAAAGGATCCTCCTGCCTTATAGCCTCTTGCACCACTGGGATTATAGGTATGTGCCACCATTCCCAGCAGATTCCCCAAAACCTAACTTTACCACGTTTTGCAGTGAGAAGGTATATCCAAACCTACTCCCAAAGGCCAAGGGAGCTGAGGGGCTGAAGAAAGAGGATGACAAATCTGGTTTCTCAGAAAGAAACATGTGAGAGTCTTAGAACAAAAGTCATGTTTCAGGCAGCCATGAGACAATGGATCCCCGTACTGTTACCCACAAGACCCAGGACTCATATACCATAGGGAAAGGGTCATATACCATATGTGCTTCTGAAGGAATGTGTAGGACAACTGAGGTCAACTCTCTGTGAAAGGCAAAGTGTGACATAGCCTATAATTTATTTAAGAAGAGGATTTATGTGGAAAGTAAGAAGTTCCTCTTCAAAGTTTCCCTTCTTGTTAAAGAATAAAGTATAAATGTTAATAGTTTATTTCAAAGACTAACTTCCTTCAAAGCCTTCTTGCTTTTTGCTAATAACTCTTTGTTAAGCCCTTATCCTATGTAGCTGTTTGATATAAAGGAATAAGTACATTCTATGTCCTTGTACTTTAACCAAGATACTTATTTTACACATGCTCAGGCATGTCCCAGCTAGCAGCCTATGCCCCTTCCTTATTTAGAAATGTTATTACTTTTCTAAGTTATTCACAAACAACTTTCTCTTTTCCTTTGTTCTCCATTGCCTTTAGCTATTTAGGAAAGTTTTAACTTGTTAGCCAATCAGGTTTAGCTTAGACTGTGAGGTCTAGCTCCAACCAATGGAGATAGGACACAGCAATAAGGACCCAAAGTGTAAGAGATAAATATTCCTGCCATTGTTTGTTCATTGTACTCTTGGGCAAGATTGCTGATGGACAGCACCCTTTCTGCAGAAAGTAAAATTGCCTTGCTAAGAAAATTCTTTGTCTGAGTGCTAGTTCTTTTTGGCACCAAAGAATGAGCATTTCTAACAATTTGTGTAAGTGTTTAAAATCGTTAACACCGATCCAAGATGGCTGATCGCTAACATCTTGGGATTGCAGCTCCCAGTGAAAGCGCAGAGAACGAGAGGATGCCACATTTTCAGACAAATTTTTGTTGCTTACGGAGCAGAAGACTCCCAGTGGAGGAGCCCCACGAGTCACCAGCATGACTCTTGTGGCCAGTGCAGCAGTTTTGCTGGCACCTCGGCGTGGCAGCTCTTGGTGCAGAGTAAACGGGACCGGTTCCCCTTCTGACCGATGTTTGGAGCTCTGGGAAGGCAGAGTCACCTATTACGGACTCAAGAAGGAAGCCAGACTGGAGATTCCTGGGCAGAAAAGCACCATCAGTCTTAACGCCGCTGTTTTGGCCGGCACAGTGGGTTGCTCATATTTCGGCCCTGGGAATTAACAACTTGGATGTCCACTCAGAGACCTAATTTGAAAGTTGGTAATTACAAAGATGACAGCTGGATAAATTTACAATGATGGGAAGAAACCAGTGTAAAAAGGCTGAGAATACTCAAAATCAGAATGCCTCTCCCTCTAAAGAGGATCACAGTTCCTCATCAGCAATGGAACAAGGCCTGATGGAGAACGAATGCGTTCCAATAACAGAATTAGGCTTCAGAAGGTGGATAATAAGAAACTTCTGTGAGTTAAAAGAACATGTTGTAGCCCAATGTAAAGAAACTAAGAACTTTGAAAAAAAGGTTTGACAAAATCCTAATGAGAATAGACAATTTAGAGAGGAATATAAGTGAATTAATGGAACTAAAGAATACAATATGGGAACTCCGAGAAGTATGCACAGGTTTAAACACTCGAATTGATCAAGCAGAAGAAAGGATATCAGAGGTCGAAGACCAACTTAGTGAAATAAAACAAGAAGACAAGATTAGAGAAAAAAAGGATAAAAAGGAATGAGCAAAATCTCCAAGAAATGTGGGACTATGTGAAAAGACCTAATTTACGTTTCATAGGTGTACCTGAATGAGATGGAGAGAATGAATCCAAGCTGGAAAATATTCTTCAGGATATTATTCAGGAAAATTTTCCTAACCTAGCAAAGCAGGACAAGATTCAACCCCAGGTAATACAGAGAACACCACAAAGATATTCCTCAAGAAGAGCAACCCCAAGGCACATAATCGTTAGATTCACCAGGGTTGAAACGAAGGAGAAAATACTAAGGGCAGCCAGAGAGAAAGGTCAGGTTACCCACAAAGGGAAGCCTATCAGACTTACAGCAGATTTCTCAGCAGAAGCTCTACAAGCCAGAAGAGAGTGGGGGCCAATATTCAACATCCTTAAAGAACAAAACTTTCAGCCCAGAATTTCATATCTAGCCAAACTAAGTGTCACAAATGAAGGAAAAATAAAATCTTTTATGAACAAGCAAGTACTCAGAGATTTTATTACCACCAGGCCTGCTTTACAAGAGCTTCTGAAAGAAGCATTACACATAGAAAGAAACAACCAGTATTAGCCTTTCTAAAAATATACCAAAAAGTAAAGAGCATCAACATAAAGAAGAATTTACATCAACGAATGGATAAAACAGCCAGTTAACATCAAATGGCAGTAACCCTAAATTTAAATTGACTAAATCCCCCAATCAAAAGATACAGCCAAAACCCAACTGTATGCTACATCCAGACCCATTTCACATGCAAGAATACACAAAGACTCAACACAAAGGGATGGAGAAAGATTTACCAACCAAATGGAGAGCAAAAATAAATAAAATAATAAAAAGCAGGAGTTACAATTCTCACATCTAATAGATTTTAAAGCAACAAAGATATAGTGGTAAAAGTATCAATGCAACAATAAGAGCTAATGATCCTAACACCCAGATACATAGAGACTTAGACTCCATGAGACAGAAAATTAATAAGGATATCCAGGACTCGAATTCAGATCTGGAACAAGTAAACTTAATAAATATTTATAGAGCTCTCCACTTTAAATACACAAAATATACATTCTTGTCAATACCACATCATACCTACTCATACGTTTAAATGAAATACTGATTGGCCATTATTAATACCCATTTTTTAGAATAAAGCAACATTTCCATTCTCTCTCCCTCTGTTTCTTCCTCTTCCTTCCTCTCCTTCACTCCTTTTTTTTTCTTCCCTTCTGTTAAAAAAAAAACCACACGCACACACAGAAAAAGAAAAAATAAAATCAGAGAATCTTCCTCCCCTTTTTAAAATTAGCCACATAGAGAATGAATTAAAAAAAAAAAATTGTAACACTAAGGAGTTCTTTTGACCTAAAGGGCAGGATTTATAGCTCTTAATAGTAGATAAAGTAGAAATCATAGAGGCATTCCTGGAACTCGGGTTAATCAGAAGTCAGGAGCAGTGGTTCATGCCTGTAATCCTAGCACTCTGAGAGGTCAAGGTGTCCAGGAGTTCAAGACCAGTCTGGGCAACATAGCAAGACCTGTCTCTTAAAAAAAAAAAAAAAAAAACAACCAGAAGTCAATATGGCAGATTAAAATCCAAGACAAATTTGCCTTAGCCTCCACATACTACATTTGCTTTATTGTTTCCCTGCTAAATTTGTTTCATTATGAACCATTTGAGAGTAAGCTACAGATACAATGCCCCTTTTCTCCAAATACTGAATGTGCTTTTGTTTAAACACAAGAACATTTTCTTATATAACCAAGATCCAGTAATCAGAATCAGGACATCAACATGATACATTTCTGAAATCTATAGACCTTACTCAGATTTTGCCAATTGTCCCAATAACATGCTTTATACCAAAAGAAAATCCAGGACAATGTGTTACATTTTTTGTTTTTTTTGAGACAGAGTTTCCCTCTTACTGCCCAGGCTGGAGTGCAATTGCACGATCTCAGCTCACCACAACCTCGCATCCTGAGTTCAAGTGATTCACCTGCCTCAGCCTCCCAAGTAGCTGGGATTACAGGTGCATGCCACCACACCCAGCTAATTTTTGTATGTTTAGTAGAGACAGAGTTTCACCATGTTGACCAGGATGGTCTCAATCTCTTGACCTCATGATCTGCCCACCTCGGCCTCCCAAAGTGCTGGGATTACAGGCGTGAGCCACCACACCCAGTTTTTGTTTCTGTTTTTGTTTGAGACAGTCTCTCACTCTGTTGCCCAGGCCAGAGTGCAATGGTGTGATCTTGTCTCACTGCAACTTCTGCCTCCCAGGTTCGAGTGATTCTTTTTCCTCAGCCTCCTGAATAGCTGAGATTACAGGTACCTGCCACCATGCCTGGCTAATTTTTGTGTTTTTAGTAGAGACGGGGATTCACCATGTTGGCCAGGCTGGTCTCGAACTCCTGACCTCAGGTGATCTACCCACCTGAGCCTCCCAAAGTGCTGCAATTACAGGTATGAGCCACTGCACCTGGCCCATTCAGTTGTTTTTTTTTATTCCAAGTTTGGAAGCAGCCCCTTCTAGGGGTCTGGCTAAAACCCCAGCTCTGAGCTGGACAGTGGGTGCTTGAGGGTAGAGGCTCGAATTTGCCCTCCTCCATCAGCTCAATTTCCTGGAAGTGCCCTCTGTCCCGCTGGGTGAATCCAGGGGAGTTGGGGCTTCTATCTCGCTTATGGGGATGAGAGAAGGGAACTGTGGCAGCAGAAGGAAGAGGCTTGGTTCCTTCTCTACCACGACCTGCTGTGTTCTTCTCTTTCCATCCCTGTGTTCCTGTTAAAGGAACTGGCTGACTCAAAGCCGGCTACAGCCTGGAATGTGGGCCCTGCTGCTGAGGATTCAGTGCCAGCCAGGGGGGCCTCTTACTGTCCGAGGTTGACGTCCTTGTATATCAGAGGCTAACCTGCAAGCCAGCTTTGTGCCTGCAGGATGACCTTCTCTTGATTATATACCAAATCTAACACTTTAGAGAAGAGTGTTTCTTGGATATAGTAGGTTTATATTAATAACAAGAGTCACAGTTTATTTCAGGCTTATCATGTGCTTTACATAATTACCTCATTTAATTTTTTTTTTTTTTTTTGAGATGGAGTTTTGCTCTTGTTACTCAGGCCGGAGTGCAATGGCGTGATCTCAGCTCACTGCAACCTCTGCCTCCCAGGTTCAAGTGATTCTCTTGCCTCAGCCTCCCAAGTAGCTGGGATTACAGGTATGTGCCACCATGCCCGGCTAATTTTGTATTTTTAGTAGAGATGGGGTTTCTCCATGTTGGTCAGGCTGGTCTTGAACTCCCAACCTCAGGTGATCTGCTCTCCTCAGTCTCCCAAAGTGCTGGGATTACAGGTATAAGCCACTGTGCCCAGCCTACCTTATATATTTTTTACAAAATTTTATAAGATACAGGTACCTGTTTTAGAGATGAGGAAAACTGAGACTGAAAGGGTTCTTATTAAACATTAAGCATCCGGCTGGGCGCGGTGGCTCAAGCCTGTAATCCCAGCACTTTCGGAGGCCGAGGCGGGTGGATCACGAGGTCAAGAGATCGAGACCATCCTGGTCAACATGGTGAAACCCCGTCTCTACTAAAAATACAAAAAGTTAGCTGGGCATGGTGGCACGTGCCCGTAATCCCAGCTACTCAGGAGGTTGAGGCAGGAGAATTGCCTGAACCCAGGAGGCGGAGGTTTCGGTGAGCCGAGATTGTGCCATTGCACTCCAGCCTGGGTAATGAGCAAAACTCCATCTCAAAAAAAAAAAAAAAAAGATTAAGCATCCTGAATCTGAAAACCCCAAATCTGGAATGCTCTAAACTCCGAAACACTTTGAGCACTGACATGAAGCCACAGTGGAAAATTCCACACTTGACCTCATGTGACAGGTGGCAGTCAAAAATGCAGGTACACAGTACACAGTTTATTCAGCATTCCCAAGGGGAAAAAAGACACTCCCAGCCCCCTTCAGCTGCGATACCTATTTTCCACTCACACTCAGATTCTTCCACAAAAGCATGCCCATAAGAGGTAACATGAGGCCAGGCACAGTGGCTCACACCTGTAGTCCCAGCACTTTGGAAGGTTGAGGTGGGTGGATTACCTGAGGTCAGGAGTTCAAGACCAGCCTGATCAACCTGGCAAAGCCCCATCCCTACTAAAAATAAATTAGCCAGGTGTGGTGGCACATGCCTATAATCCTAGCTACTTGGGAGGCTTAGGCAGGAGAATCGCTTGAACCTGGGAGGCAGAGGTTGCAGAGAGCCGAGATTCTGCCACTGCACTCCAGGCTGGGTGACAGAGCAAGATTCCATCTTAAAAAAAAAAAAAAGTTAACATGATGGCACATTTGCAGGCTAGACATGCCAACTGCAGGTTGTTCCCCACCTGCCTCAAAGAGGACGGAGATCTATGCACATCACTCACATAGGTTTTTTAACTATTATTTTCTGTTCTGTGGTGTAAAGATATTGTTCAAAGTATAAAGAGAGCCCTGCAGATAGCCCTGTGAGTAACAGTGATGAGAAGAAGAGGAAGCAGGCCAGGCGAGGTGGCTCACGCCTGTAATCTTAACACTTTGGGAGGCTAAGGCAGGTGGATCACTTGAGGTCAGGAGTTCAAGACCAGCCTGGCCAACATGGCGAAACCCTGTCTCTACCAAAAATACAAAAATTAGCTGGGTGTGGTGGCAGGCACCTATAATCTCAGCAACTTGGAAGGTTGAGGTAGGAGAATTGCTTGAACCCAGGATGCAGAGGTTGCAGTAACCCTAGATGGCGCCACTGCATTCCAGTCTGGGTGACAGAGCGAGACTGTCTCAAAAAAGAAAAAGAGAAAGCAGTTATGTTTATTGCACAGAAAGTCAAGTTGCTGGAGAAACTGGACAGCAGCGTAGGTGTGAAATGTCCTACAGAAGAGTATGGTGTTGGCATGAACACCATAGATGACCTGAAGAAACAGAAGGATAAACTGGTGAAGTTCGATACTGAATATGATGAACAGAAGTTAATGAAAAACAGAAAATGCATAAAGCATGAAAAATGAAGATCTCGACTGTGTATTGAAAGAATAGATCCAGAGGCTGGGCACGGTGGCTCACGCCTATAATCCCAGCACTTTGGGAGGCCAAGGTGGGCGGATCACGAGGTCAGCAGTTCCAGACCAGCCTGGCCAATATGGCGAAACCCCATTTCTACTAAAAATGTAAAAATTAGCCGGGCGAGATGGCACACACCTGTAATCCCAGCTACTTGGGGAACTGAGGCAGGAGAATCGCTTGAACCTGGGAGGCGGATGTTGTAGTGAGCAGACATTGTGCCACTGCACTCTAGCATGGGCAACAGAGTGAGACTCCATCTCAAAAAAAAAAAAAAGAGTAAATCCATTTGGCTGGGCACAATGGCTTACACCTGTAGTCCCAGCACTTTGGGAGGCCAAGGTGGGCAGATCACTTGAGGTCAGGAGTTCGAGACCAGCCTG